AATGTGTCACCACCCCACGCACCCACCAACGTGTCACCACCCCACCCACCCACCAACGTGTCACCACCCCACCCACCCACCAACGTGTCACCATCCCACACACCAACGTGTCACCAACCACACACCAACGTGTCACCACCCCACCCACCAACGTGTTACCACCCCACACACCCACCAACGTGTCACCACCCCACGCACCCACCAATGTGTCACCACCCCACGCACCCACCAATGTGTCACCACCCCACGCACCCACCAACGTGTCACCACCCCACACACCCACCAACGTGTCACCACCCCACACACCCACCAACGTGTCACCACACACCCACCAACGTGTCACCACCCCACCCACCAACGTGTCACCACACACCCACCAACGTGTCACCACACACCCACCAACGTGTCACCACCCCACACACCCACCAACGTGTCACCACACACTCACCAACGTGTCACCACCCCACCCACCAACGTGTCACCACCCACCCACCAACGTGTCACCACCCCACCCACCCACCAACGTGTCACCACCCCACCCACCCACCAACGTGTCACCATCCCACACACCCACCAACGTGTCACCACCCACCCACCAACGTGTCACCACCCCACCCACCCACCAACGTGTCACCACCCCACCCACCCACCAACGTGTCACCATCCCACACACCCACCAACGTGTCACCACCCACCCACCAACGTGTCACCACCCCACCCACCCACCAACGTGTCACCATCCCACACACCCACCAACATGTCACCACCCCACCCACCAACGTGTCACCACCCACCCACCAACGTGTCACCACCCCACCCACCAACGTGTCACCACCCCACCCACCCACTAACGTGTCACCACCCCACACACCCACCAACGTGTCACCACCCCACCCACCCACCAACATGTCACCACCCCACCCGCCCACCAACGTGTCACCACCCCACACACCCACCAACGTGTCACCACCCCCACCCACCCACCAACGTGTCACCACCCCACACACCCACCAACGTGTCACCACCCTACCCACCCACCAACATGTCACCACCCCACCCACCCACCAACGTGTCACCATCCCACACACCCACCAACGTGTCACCACCCCACCCACCCACCAACATGTCACCACCCCACCCACCCACCAACGTGTCACCATCCCACCCACCCACCAACATGTCACCACCCCACCCACCAACGTGTCACCACCCACCCACCAACGTGTCACCACCCCACCCACCAACGTGTCACCACCCCACCCACCCACCAACGTGTCACCACCCCACCCACCCACCAACGTGTCACCACCCCACGCACCCACCAACGTGTCACCACCCCACCCACCAACGTGTCACCACCCCACCCACCAACGTGTCACCACCCCACCCACCCACCAACGTGTCACCATCCCACACACCCACCAACGTGTCACCACCCACCCACCAACGTGTCACCACCCCACCCACCCACCAACGTGTCACCACCCCCACCCACCCACCAACGTGTCACCATCCCACACACCCACCAACGTGTCACCACCCACCCACCAACGTGTCACCACCCCACCCACCCACCAACGTGTCACCATCCCACACACCCACCAACATGTCACCACCCCACCCACCAACGTGTCACCACCCACCCACCAACGTGTCACCACCCCACCCACCAACGTGTCACCACCCCACCCACCCACCAACGTGTCACCACCCCACACACCCACCAACGTGTCACCACCCCACCCACCCACCAACATGTCACCACCCCACCCACCCACCAACGTGTCACCACCCCACACACCCACCAACGTGTCACCACCCCACCCACCCACCAACGTGTCACCACCCCACACACCCACCAACGTGTCCCAACCCCACCCACCCACCAACATGTCACCACCCCACCCACCCACCAACGTGTCACCATCCCACACACCCACCAACGTGTCACCACCCCACCCACCAACGTGTCACCACCCCACCCACCCACCAACATGTCACCACCCCACCCACCCACCAACGTGTCACCATCCCACACACCCACCAACATGTCACCACCCCACCCACCAACGTGTCACCACCCACCCACCAACGTGTCACCACCCCACCCACCAACGTGTCACCACCCCACCCACCCACCAACGTGTCACCACCCCACCCACCCACCAACGTGTCACCACCCCACGCACCCACCAACGTGTCACCACCCCACCCACCAACGTGTCACCACCCCACCCACCAACGTGTCACCACCCCACCCACCCACCAACGTGTCACCACCCCGCCCACCCACCAACGTGTCACCACCCCACCCACCAACGTGTCACCACCCCACGCACCCACCAACGTGTCACCACCCCACCCACCAACGTGTCACCACCCACCCACCAACGTGTCACCACCCACCCACCAACGTGTCACCACCCACCCACCAACGTGTCACCACCCCACCCACCAACGTGTCACCACCCCACCCACCCACCAACGTGTCACCACCCCACCCACCAACGTGTCACCACCCACCCACCAACGTGTCACCACCCCACACACCCACCAACGTGTCACCACCCCACCCACCAACGTGTCACCACCCACCCACCAACGTGTCACCACCCACCCACCAACGTGTCACCACCCACCCACCAACGTGTCACCACCCCACCCACCAACGTGTCACCACCCCACCCACCCACCAACGTGTCACCACCCACCCACCAACGTGTCACCACCCCACGCACCCACCAACGTGTCACCACCCCACACACCCACCAACGTTTCACCACCCCACACACCCACCAACGTGTCACCACCCCACCCACCCACCAACGTGTCACCACCCACCCACCAACGTGTCACCACCCCACGCACCCACCAACGTGTCACCACCCCACACACCCACCAACGTGTCACCACACCACACACCCACCAACGTGTCACCACCCCACCCACCCACCAACATGTCACCACCCCACACACCCACCAACGTATCACCACCCACCCACCAACGTGTCACCACCCCACCCACCAACGTGTCACCACCCCACCCACCAACGTGTCACCACCCACCCACCAACGTGTCACCACCCCACCCACCAACGTGTCACCACCCCACACACCCACCAACATGTCACCACCCACCCACCAACGTGTCACCACCCACCCACCAACGTGTCACCACCCCACCCACCAACGTGTCACCACCCCACCCACCCACCAACGTGTCACCACCCCACCCACCAACGTGTCACCACCCCACCCACCAACGTGTCACCACCCCACACACCCACCAACGTGTCACCACCCACCCACCAACGTGTCACCACCCCACCCACCCACCAACGTGTCACCACCCCACACACCCACCAACGTGTCACCACCCACCCACCAACGTGTCACCACCCCACCCACCAACGTGTCACCACCCCACCCACCAACGTGTCACCACGCACCCACCAACGTGTCACCACCCCACACACCCACCAATGTGTCACCACCCCACACACCCACCAACGTGTCACCACCCCACACACCCACCAACGTGTCACCACCCACCCACCAACGTGTCACCACCCCACACACCCACCAACGTGTCACCACCCACCCACCAACGTGTCACCACCCACCCACCAACGTGTCACCACCCCACACACCCACCAACGTGTCACCACCCCACACACCCACCAACGTGTCACCACCCCACACACCCACCAACGTGTCACCACCCACCCACCAACGTGTCACCACCCCACACACCCACCAACGTGTCACGACCCACCCACCAACGTGTCACCACCCACCTACCAACATGTCACCACCCCACGCACCACCTGTCTACCTGCAGCCTGCAGTATGAACGGCGTCTGTATACCTGTCAATGGCCTGCAGGACTTTGACTGTAGGACTTACACCTGTAACAAGACGGTCCACGGGGACGGCTCCATTTTTTTCTCGGTGGAACTCGTCAGCTCAAGTAGGTCATTCAATCCTTCAATCCTTCAGTCAGTCAGTCAATCATTCAATCCTTCAGTCAATCAGTAGACACATTCATTAATTCAATCATTAATTCAATCATTCATTCAATCATTCATTCAACCAGTTAACTATATTCTTTCAATCATTTAATTACAAACTTAAAACATTCGTTCATCCAATTATTTGTCCATTCATTCATCCAGCCATCCATTCATTTCATTAATTAACTTTCAGACAATTAAAATAAGAAAATTCTGACCTTTTAAACAGTTTATTTTATTTGTAATAAATTGTAATCCAATACATTTTAGGAGTTTTAAAAAATAATTTCTTAAAGCAAATTTTGCTATGACTGGTGATCATTTACTTGCATCACTAATTAAAATTATAGTAATCAACCATGTTTTTAAAATCAGTTACATACTGATCACGTTGTATTATGTGTTTTTTTTAAATATCCGTGTCGTAACGGTCCAGAGTGTAAAGATGTTTACAATTTGTCCCACAATTCCAGAGTGTAAAGATGTTTACAATTTGTCCCACAATTCCAGAGTGTAAAGATGTTTACAATTTGTCCCACAATTCCAGAGTGTAAAGATGTTTACAATTTGTCCACAATTCCAGAGTGTAAAGATGTTTACAATTTGTCCACAATTCCAGAGTGTAAAGATGTTTACAATTTGTCCACAATTCCAGAGTGTAAAGATGTTTACAATTTCCCCCACAATTCCAGAGTGTAAAGACGCCAACGGCGCATGTCACAACCCGGGTGAGAACTTCCCTCTGGTGATTGGTGGACACAGCTACAGCACCTGCACCTGCACCATAGCACCAGACGGCGCTGTCTCCTACAAGTGCTCCAGCGGGCACCAGCCGTCTGCTGGTGAGTTACCTCCCCTAGATGGCTCGTCAGAAGGGGCCCATCCTAGCCTTCTGATTGGCCAGAGAAAATCACGTGATACCAGTAGCCAAACTAGGTTTGAGAGAAAAACCACACCAATGTGGTGAGTGGTGTCACCTACCCTGTGTGGTATCACCTCACCCACCCACCCTTATGTTGCAGGCTCGTGTGTGGTGAGTGGTGTCACCTATCCTGTGTGGTGTCACCTCACCCACCCACTCTTATGTTGCAGGCTCATGTGTGGTGAGTGGTGTCACCTATCCTGTGTGGTGTCACCTCACCCATCCACCCTTATGTTGCAGGCTCATGTGTGGTGAGTGGTGTCACCTACCCTAACGGCGCGGTCATGAACTTCACCACGTGCATGCAGGAGAGGTGTGAGAATGGTGTCATCACAACACTACATGAAGGTGAGTACACCAATGGTGTGAGAATGGTGTCATCACAACACTACATGAAGGTGAGTACACCAATGGTGTGAGAATGGTGTCATCACAACACTACATGAAGGTGAGTACACCAATGGTGTGAGAATGGTGTCATCACAACACTACATGAAGGTGAGTACACCACTGGTGTGGTCATAGCCTTTCATTGTTTTGTCCATCTTTACCACAGTCTGTCCATGTTTTGTCCATCTTGACCCCAGCTTGTCTATGTTTTGTCCATCTTGACCCCTGCTTGTCTATGTTTTGTCCATCTTGACCCCATCCTGTCCATATTTTGTCCATCTTGATATAAAACTAACCATGCACTGGCCATCCTAACTCGCAATCTCTAACTGAATTAACCCCCCCCCACCAGCCTGTCCCTACAACGGCCACTGTATCCCTGTGGATGGTGAGTACACCGACAACTGCAGGAAGTACACGTGCACCAAGACCGTCCAGCCAGACAACACCAGCCACTACGCCGTCAAGCTCCTCAGCTCACGTTGGTGGTTTTTTTTAGCTCAAGCTCTTTAAGTTAATCCACACTAACTCTTTAAGTTAATCCACACTAACTCTTTAAGTTAATCCACACTAACTCTTTAAGTTAATCCACACTAACTCTTTAACTTAATCCACACAACCTCTTAAACTTAACCAACATAAGCTCTTAAACTTAATCCACACAAACTCTTAAACTTAATCCACACAGTCTTTAAGTTAATCCACAAAACTTTAAAGTAAATCCCCAAAACCTTTACCGTAAGCCACGAACCACTGTGTAGCCAGCAGCCATTGAACATCTTTCAGAATGTAAGGACGCCAACAACGTCTGCCACGACCCTGGCGAGTTGTTCCCCCTCGTCATCAGCGGCACCACCTACAACAAGTGCACGTGCACCATCGCAGCAGACGACATGGTCTCATACAACTGCTCACCCTAGTCCTTGATGGGGTCACCGGCACCACTGATGTCACGTGCACGCGATGGACTCACGTGTGTCGCCATTTTAAACATTAAATCGTTTTTGCCACTTCCTGTTGTGCACAGTTCTTTTAGAGGATATATATATATATATATATATATATATATATATATATATATATATATATATATATATATATATATATATATATATATATATATATATATATATATAAAATATATATATACTAGCTGCATACCCGTGCTCCGCCTCGGTTAATTTTTTTTTTAAATGTACCAACTTGGGTACAGAACGAAACAAACAAAAACAAAACACAACCACAACACAACACAACCACAACACAACGACTACCAAACCCAACCACAACACAGCCACAGCACAACCGCAACACAACCACAACACAACCACAACAAAACCACAACACAACACAACCACAAAACAACCACAAAACAACCACAAAACAACCACAACACAACCACAACACGACCACAACACAACCACAACACAATCACAACACAACCACAACACAGCCACAACACAGCCACAAAACAACCACAACACAACCACAACACAACCACAACACAACCACAACACAACCACAACACAACAATAACACAACCACAACCACAACACAACCACAACACAACCACAACACAACCACAACACAACCACAACACAACCACAACACAACCACAACACAACCACAACGAAACCACAACACAACCACAACACAACTACAACACAACCACAACACAACCACAACACAACCACAAAATCAGAATCACCACCGAAAAACACACTTTCCTAGGCGTCCGCGCCCAAAGAGAGCCTTTCCAGCATAAAAAATTCAAGCCACATAAATAGATCCTACTCCATAACTTATAATAAAACAATGCGATGCAAATGAATGTACGGCAAGTGGTGTTTACTTTTATGGTTCCAAGAAAACACATTGGCAATGTAATTAGAATCACCACTGAAAAACACGCTTTCCCAGGCGTCCTCGCCCAGAGAGAGCCTTTCCAGCATTCTCTATACTATAATTCTAAAATTTCACCATCTGTTAACACCGAAAAACGAAAATAGTGATTTTGAGAATATAATATAATCTTAACATTTTTTTTTATTTTAATTATGAACCTTAACATAATAATCAATGCGGTAGTAATAAAAAAAATTAACTTAAATTATTGATGAGTTAAATTTATTTTTAAATTACCTCCCATGCAAAAAAAAATTTTTAAAGTTAAATTAATTAGTTTTTTCGACCTACTGTTATGAAAATTTATCCACTATTTCTAGGAATATAAACGAAAATGATATTTGACATTGATCCTTTTAATATTTTCTTTACGTTATGCAAAAGAGTAAAAACAGTGGCAACTATAAAATAACTTTAGGTCGTTATATAAACAAACCCTACTCAATTACATATAATGAGACACTGCGATGCACTGAAAAGCACTGCATGGTGCGGTGTTTACTTTTATGGTTCCAAAATCTATAGCGATGACGGAAAGAAGGAAGGAAGGAAGGACTGATACACTACCTAGCCGCTTATATTATAGATATGCTGCATTCCCGTGCTTCGCCACGGTGAATCTTTTTTTAATTGTACCAATTTGGGAACCGAGCAAAACCAAACACAAACACAAAGGAAAACAAACGCAAACAAAAACACAAACACAAACAAAACGCAAACTCAAGCAAAAAAGCAAACACAACTCAAACACAAAAGAAAACGCAAACACAAACCCAAACGCTTATCAAAAGGCTTTTGGAAAAACAAACGGACATGTAAAAAATGCTCTCACGAACGTCCACGAAATCCCCGACCCGCGATGTAATTAGAACCACCGTCTGGTCACCCATAATGTGACATGTCTAAATTAGGCTCTCCCATCCTAGTCAAAACAAAAACACAACCAGAAAATATTGAAACAATCACTAGACACAGATTTATCAACACACTTGGACACGCGAGTGTATGAAACTAATTTATTGAAAAATCGTGAATGCACTGATCTTTTATAAAGAAGGAATTCAAAACAAACAATTTCATCCAATGAAACCTCTTTACGTCATTCAATGCTAAATGATTAATTAAAATAAAATAAATAGATCACAAAATACCGTGATATTCTAGATAATTCGGTAGATGTGAACCAACGCGTCACGGCTGATTGATAAACTAATTACAAAATGAGTACTTTAATTAATTAAATTAATGTAATTAAAATGGTGAGGATAAAACAGGTAGGGCTGCACACTCAGGTCAAGGTGACATCTATACATGACCCCTGGGTCAAGGTGACATGCGTGACCCCTGGGTCAAGGTGACAACTATACTGGCACACGTGGAAGCATGCAACAGGACTAACCACACAGAACACGGGACGATGCGGGCAGTGATGAAATGAGTCCTAGATTGTTACAAGTCCTAGATTGTTACAAGTCCTAGATTGTTACAAGTCCTAGATTGTTACAAGTCCTAGATTGTTACAAGTCCTAGATTGTTACAAGTCCTAGATTGTTACAAGTCCTAGATTGTTACAAGATGGTGAGATTGTTACAAGTCGACCATCACGAACTCAGGTTTAATTAACAACAAAAAATTATTCCTTGTTTTTCTAGCACTCAGAGTCCAAGTTTTTAATTTAAAAAATTTAAAACTTGGAATATGGCGGACCGCACTTTGAGTCAAATTGTTGTGTAACAATCTAGGACAACTCAGGTGATGAAGTCAGCGCATGTAGGGGGGGGGGGGGGGGGCACACTTCTGGCGGAGGACAATGGGAGAGGTCTGGGTTTTTTGCAAGTATTTCTAGGTGTCTACTTCATACTTGTGGGTTTTTGGTGGTAGAAAGGTGGTTTTTTGGTGGTAGAAAGGTGGTGTTTGGGCTTCAGGCAAAAAACTACTGGTGGTTCGTTCAATCCTTGACATGACATGTTCTGACATGACATGTTCTGACATGACATGTTCTGACATGACAGTTCTGACATGACATGTTCTGACATGACATGTTCTGACAAATATTTCTGGCCTAAAGTTCTAGCTGGTTTAAAAAAAACTAGTGGCCAGTTTATATGTGGAGATGAAAGGTCAAGGATTTATCCAGGATCAAGGTTAGAGGAAAATTCAATCAAATGTTTAAAAAATTATTTTACTTTTTGGTAAAAATATTCAAGACAGAATCCAATGGTACAATCTTCCTTTTGGTAAACTGGTCTTTTCTACATATTTAACTTCTTTCAATTGGAAAATGATTTAGACATTAAAATATGCATCTAGCAGTAAAAAAAATCATTTCATTGAACTCTACTTCCGATATTTTGAAATCACAGATACGAAGGCGAATAACATTGTGTCGTGTGCAAAATTGTGTCGTGTGTAATATTGTGTCGTGTGCAACATCGTGTCTATTGGAATTTCCAGGCAAAAAACCCACTTGGTCCCATTCCTCAAGAGATGTAAAAAAATAATTGTGTCAATAGCGGAATATGATGTAAAAAAAATGTGTCAATAGCGGAATATGATCGCACGTAGCGGACAAAGCTGCAGTAAGGCATTAATTTACATAAACTTAACATGTGTTAGCCTAACATAGCCAATGTTACATAAACTTAACATGTGTTAGCCTAACATAGCCAATGTTAGCCAAGCTAGCTAAAGTTAGCCATAGTTGTTCTAGCTTAGGTTTAGTATTCATCTCATCAGAAAACATCAGCAGACGACATCATACAATCAGACAATTTTGGCGCCAAAACATTGCGTGTGTTCCAGTATAACTACGGGGAGAAGCAGACCAGCCCTGTCTGACCTAAATTCTGGAATCATCAGACTAGCGGCTTGGTTTGAAGTTAATTAGCTTAATTAATTATCCTTCAATTTCCTTGACTGTGTCGGGTGGTTGCATCCAGCCCGCTACCTGATGTAAAGCTACGTCATACTGGAGCGCCATGAAATGTGCAGCCACTGACATGTGCAGCCTGAAATGTGCAGCCTCTAACCAAAACAGGAGATAGATGAACTGTGGCACGCAGCGTGGTATGAAAAAGTTATTTGGCCAAACGATGAGACAGCCATTGATGGGTTTGGTTGAGAAAGTCTTAAAAATCTGGCCAGTCGAGCTGCCCTCCTTCAAGTCTCGACCACCATCAAAGCCACATCAACAAACATCTAGATTCTCGGGCCCAACATCACTTTGTTGATAAAATCTGAAATGTGGAAAGAAGGGAGAGAATCAAACCGCAGTCAGGCAAAACTCGAACTACTTTTCTAGAATATATTTGCATATACTTGCGTGTGTGTGTATATATATATATATATATATATATATATATATATATATATATATATATATATATATATATATATATATATATATATATATATATATATATATATATATATATATACTACTTTTTTTGTAGTTTGCATTGATGTTTGGGTTTGGGTTTGGTTTTTTAAATTGTGTTTGTGCTTTTTGTTTGAGTTTGCGTTTGCTTATATGTTTGCGTTTGTGTTTGCGTTTATATTTGGGTTAAGTTTACCTTTTGTGCTTGAGTCTGTGTATGTGTTAGTTTTGCTTTTGGGTTTGCGTTTGTGTTTGTGTGTGTTACGTTTGTGTTTGATTTTGTGTTTTTTTTTTAGTTTTTGTATTGGTTAGGTTTAAGTTTAAAGGCATGTATATATATATATATATATATATATATATATATATATATATATATATATATATATATATATATATATATATATATATATATATATATATATATATATATATATATATATATATATATATATTACTTCAAAAAGTAAATTTCTATACAAATTGTATTTCTTTCGGGGGGGGGGGGGGGGTGGAGCTTCGGGGGTTGCGGAACTAGTGCCCATTGTATTACCTCCAATTGTTCTCGTATGGAATATGTTTGATGTGTGTGATGTAAAAATTGACATGTGCTATGACGTCACGTCTGTGAGCCGTGATGTGACGTCACAAGCAGACGTGACTTACCTTCATACTTGACGTTTCCCTCCAGGTCGATGGTGATGTCGGTCAGTTTGATGATCTCATCCACCTGCTCGTCTGTCAGCCTCTCACCTGGAGAGGTCACGTGGGTTCATCGTTAGATGGCTCGTGTCAGGAGGGGTGGGGGGTGGGGGTTCAGGTTAGAATGTTCGTGTCACGAGGGGTGGGGCTGGGGTGAGGGGCTCACGGTTAGAATGCCCGTGGCAGGAGAGGTGGGGGGTGGGGGTGTGGGGGCACACGGTTAGAATGCCCGTGTCAGGAGAGGTGGGGTGGTGGGGGGTGGTGGGGTGGGGGCACACGGTTAGAATGCCCGTGGCAGGAGAGGTGGGGGTGGGGGGTGGTGGGGTGGGGGCTCTGGGTTAGAATGCTAGTGTCAGGAGGGGTGGGGTGGTGGGGGGTGGTGGTGGGGTGGGGGCACACGGTTAGAATGCTCGTGTCAGGAGAGGTGGGGGAGTAAAAACTACCCTGCTGGGGTGGTGTAAATAAACTACAAGCATCGCGTGGTGCTAGCACAATGCAATACTTTGATCCGTGGCTGAACTTAAAATTGTAAAACACACTTTGAGAGACGAACTATCGAACGTTTCCTTTGGTGGGTTGAATCTCTTAGGTAACTATTGTAGGAGACAGTGTCATGGAGGTTCAGAAGGGAGGTTCAGTAGGGAGGCTTAGAATGGAAGTTAAGGGTGGAGATTTAGGGTGGTGGTGTTCGTGATTACGTACAAGGTAGGTTTAGCTGGACAGAAAAGACATACAGACACACAGTAAGGTGTGCGGACAAAAACACGGACAGAAGGACGGACAGACGGACGGACGGACAGACAGACAGACAGACAGACGGACGGACGGACGGACAGACAGACGGACGGTCACGAGTGATTGGTTACCCATGGCTGTGAGCAGATGCCTCATCTCTGCCGCGCTGATGTAACCTTGACCTTCCCTGTCGAAGGACTTGAAAGCCTCCTCGAAGTCCCGAAACGTTCCCCACTCCTTGACGTTCTTCGTCTGCTTGTAGATGGCCAGGAACTCTTCGTACGAATATTGTTTTTCACCTGAAGGTCAACACAACAACATCCAAGGTCAGCAACTACACACACACAAGGTCAACACCTAAACATACTAGGTCAACACCTAAACACACAAGGTCAACACATAGACTTACAAGGTCAGCAACTAAACATACAATGTTACAATCCTAGACACACTAGGTCATGACCTCAACTTGTGACCACAAGTTCGACTTACCAAGACACCCAATGACCTTGGTCAAAAGTGTATTGAGGTCATGACAACTGAGGTCAAATGTCAAGGCCACTTACTTGGCTTGTCGGTGCCTCCCCACTGTTTGATGAGGGCCAGTGTGGGGTTGAGCTCGACACACCTCAAGAGGTCACCGACCTTGACCGCGTCAATCAGACCGTCCCTGCCGTCCCAGAAGTCGAACAGGTCAAACACCTCACGGACATCTGCAAGACGTGACCGCTGTTAGCAGGGGTGGGGCATTTGGTGGGGCAGATGGTGGGGCAGATGGTGGGACAGATGGTGGGGCATTTGGTGGGGCAGATGGTGGGGGCAGATGGTGGGGCAGATGGTGGGGGCAGATGGTGGGGGCAGATGGTGGGGGCAGATGGTGGGGTAGATGGTGGGACAGATGGTGGGGCATTTGGTGGGGGCAGATGGTGGGGTAGATGGTGGGACAGATGGTGGGGCATTTGGTGGGGGCAGATGGTGGGGTAGATGGTGGGACAGATGGTGGGGCATTTGGTGGGGCAGATGGTGGGGGCAGATGGTGGGGGCAGATGGTGGGGTAGATGGTGAGGCAGATGGTGGGGCAGATGGTGGGGGCAGATGGTGGGGTAGATGGTGGGACAGATGGTGGGGCATTTGGTGGGGCAGATGGTGGGGGCAGATGGTGGGGGCAGATGGTGGGGGCAGATGGTGGGGCAGATGGTGGGGCAGATGGTGGGGGCAGATGGTGGGGGCAGATGGTGGGGGCAGATGGTGGGGTAGATGGTGGGGGCAGATGGTGGGGCAGATGGTGGGGTAGATGGTGGGGCAGATGGTAGGGCATTAGGTGGGACAGATGTTGGGGGCAGATGGTGGGGCAGATTGTGACTTGATGGTGGGGCTGATGGTGGGGGCAGATGGTGGGGGCAGATGTGGGAGCAGATTGCAGAGGCAGATGGTGGGGCAGATGGTGGGGGCAGATGTTGGGGTAGAGGGTGGGGCATTTGGTGGTGCATTTGGTGGGGCAGATGGTGGGGCAGCTGATGGGGGCAGATGGTGAGGCAGATGGTGGGGCTGATGGTAGGGCAGTAGGTGGGGTAGATGGTGTGGCATTAGGTGAGATAGAGTATGATGGGATACTCTCTGTGTAGCTGAACAAGCTGCAATGTTCTAAAAATTAGACTGAACTGGAATTTGTTTAATAATAAACGACTCGCCGGCAATTATCCACAGGTCAAGCATTACGTCACGTCATGTGATCAAGTCAGAACGTGACCATGAACGTTCGATAAAAAAAAACAATCGCGACTAAAATATTGGCCCTGTGATCAGTCATGTGATAAGGCTAAAGGTCACGTGATTACCACGCCAGGTGTGTTTTGGTTTGGAGCTAAACGTGGCTATTCCCGGACGTGACATTTCTCCCCATCTGTCCAGAGATCACGGTCGTCTGGTCCCGCCACAGGTAAACAAGTCAGGGTTTTATTTACACAACAAAGGGGAAACATGCTGTTGCTGCTGTTGCTGTTTTTGTTGGTGTTGTTGTTGGTGTTGTTCTGTTGTTGTGGACAATACTATTGTTGTGATGAACATGATACTGCGGTAATGTGGTAATGATGTGGTGATTATGCTGTGTTGTGATGACGATGATTTGGTGATAAAGTTATCACTGTGATGTTGATGTGGTTATGTAGTTGCTGCTGTGATGATTGTGTTGTGGTGATGATGATGTGGTAGTGACTTAATAATGATATTGTTGTGCGGTGTTGTTGTGATGTTTTTATTGATGTGATGATGTGGTTGTCGTGGTGGTGATTGTGTAGATGTAGTGACGTTGTTGCTGTTCTGATGATTTTGTGGTAATGATGTTGGGTCTTCCCTGTCACTTATGTGGTATTTTTTATGCGGTATGACACGCACATCCCCCAACTCCACACGCCCCCTCCCCTCCCCCACGCCTCCCCCCCCCCTAGCGAGGTAATCGTTGGCATCCCCTGATACGTTCATAAAACACTTCACTGTGGCAGCAACTATTGCCCGGGTGGGGGCGGAGATAACAGACAGTCAAAACAGAGCGGGGGAGGGGGTGGTGATTATGTCATCAGATATCTCAATTTGTTCGTCAATAAATCTGTCAATCTTTATGTCAATAGATCTGTCAATCTTTATGTCAATAGATCTGTCAATCTTTATGTCGATAGATGAGCTAAGATCCTTACTCAGCTAGACACAGAGAAAGCTGGGACTTGATCACTGGAAGGTGGTGTCATCTGTTGTGTGTGAGCACACGAGGTAGCGACCTGCTCACCAACAGCTCCTTAAGTTTGAGTAGGGAGAAAATATGAACCGAACACTCCGATAGCTTTGGAACAGACACGGCCTTAGCTCATAAGCTCTAATCCACACCCACCCACCCTAAGCTCCTAAACTCCCACCCCCACACACCCAAACCTCCTAAACTCTCACACACGATTGTAAGTAGTCAATGTAAGCAGTCAATGTAGGCATCAATGTAAGCCGTCAATGTAAGCACAGGATGTAAGCAGTCAATGTAAACAGTCAATGAAAGCAGTCAATGTAGGCATCCATGTAAGCAGTCAATGTAAGCACATGATCTAAGCAGTCAATGTAAGCAGAAACTGAGCACCATCCCAATTGCTCCAATAGTTTACACACAAGCCCGGTGGTTACCATAGCAACAGTGTTAAAATTGTTTACGTTTCAAAATGTAATTTACCTGGGCTAGCTCTACAATTTCTCAAGACGAGAGTCAGGTGCGTGTAGGCAAGGTGCGTGTAGGCACACAGTTAACTAGGCTCCAACCGGAGACGTCATGGCTTAAGACAGCCATCTTAAACACCATCCAACGCCCTCACACCATCCTTATCACCTGCCAAACTTGACCAACTGGGCCATCAGAAAAAGTTTTCACTTAGGGCGTGGCCTAGGTAGGTTTTACACGGGCAGGATGAGAACCATTTGACTTACATGGTTAGATGGTTACACAGTGTGTATGTGTAGGTGAAGGTTTGTAGGTGTGTAGGTGCAGGTGTAGGTGTGTATCGTGATGTGCGTAGGTGTAGGTGTGTAGGTGTAGGTGTGTAGGTGTAGGTGTGTAGGTGTAGGTGTGTAGGTGTGCAGGTGCAGGCGTGTAGTGGTGTAGGTGTAGGTGTGTAGCTGATGTTGGACGTGCCAATGGCTACCAGATTTGGTGAGTTAACTAGCCAATGGCTACCAGATTTGGTGAGTTAACTAGCCAGTGGCTACCAGAATTGGTGAGTTAACTAGCCAGTGGCTACCAGATTTGGTGAGTTAACTAGCCAGTGGCTACCAGATTTGGTGAGTTAACTAGCCAGTGGCTACCAGATTTGGTGAGTTAACTAGCCAGTGGCTACCAGATTTGGTGAGTTAACTAGCCCGTAGCTACCAGATTTGGTGAGTTAACTAGCCAGCAACTAGCAGACATGTCATTTAAAAAGGTGAACTGACACCCAACACCATATTTACAGTACCATTCAAAGTAAGCTTGAAGTAACGCGTTACTTGACGGCTCACCATTTTACTGCGCACCTTAAAATTCTCCGCGTGTAATTCTAGAACTTTTAGAAATCTGGCATCCTCGGACTGCCTGCTGCCAAAAGTTGGAGGGGGAAATGGCGCAATAGTACATGTAGGTAGGTGAGTAGGGGGGTGGGGGGGGCGCATACCATTGCTGCTTATCTATGTTGTCAAAGTATTTAGGTAGTTGATTTCTGAAGTTCAGTGTTTAGACACTAAATAGAATTTCTAAGGAGAATTTTTTTATTCCTACATTGGTGAGGAAAATATTAACTCTGTATTATCAAATAAGTTACAATTCACACAGCCCCCCCCCCACACACACGTTACACTACACCCCACACAAGTTACAATTCACACACACCCACACAAGTTACACTACACGTATAGTTAAGGCTGAAGTAATTAAACACGTAACCTCAACTAGGACATCATATGGTCCACAATAGTTCACGCCCCCCAATCCCACCCACAAACGCCTGGTTCGATGGCCCCAACCCACTCACCCCTCCCATCCCCCCACCCCCTAAAGCCAGCCCTTGTATACAAACAAGCCGCTTTAAAACTTTACCTGCATTTTATCCTCGCCTTCAACTTGTTTGTTTATCTAACCCCCCCCCCCCCCCACCCCCACCCATCCCTACCCCCAGACTTACCCAGGTAAATATTTGGTCTGTTTACGGCCTATGACGCAATGGATGCACAAAACGCACATTTATTTCACATTAAGCTGCACATTGGTATAGCACAATGCCGCACACACAAATTGTCTGATGGTCAATGTCCTATCTGACCAATGTTCAATGTCCTGTTTAATTGTAAAAGTCCTATCTGACCAATGGTCAATGTCCTGTTTAATTGTAAATGTCCTATCTGACCAATGTTCAATGTCCTGTTTAATTGTAAATGTCCTATCTGACCAATGGTCAATGTCCTGTTTAATTGTAAATGTCCTATCTGACCAATGGTCAATGTCCTGTTTAATTGTAAATGTCCTATCTGACCAATGGTCAATGTCCTGTCTGATGGTCAATGTCTTGTCAGGTGGATATGTCTCCAAATTACAATTACCGCAATTACCGCAAATTTCTTTGAATGTCTAAATTGTTTTAGAACGAAAATCGGAATGTATTAGAAGGCGATAAAGAACTTCCGTTAGCGAATTCAACCCTCCAAAATCTTGAAGATGTATTCTGATCTTCTAAAAAGTTCATCTCTCCAAACATATATTATCTTTCAAACTGCCAATTCCAATTTTTGGTGCTCCCCTTCCCAGAATGCGCCTCGTTCTATTTATAGACGCCAAGGTATATAACCTGTGGGTGACTCACAACACACGCACGCAGTTATCTTCTACTGTAATCAAGTTTTTCGTTTCATTAAATTGCCGATTCAGCTTTTAACTATTCCGACTTGAGTTTAAATTACACTTGAATTACTTGTGCTTTTCGCCTAAGCTTTATTATCGCACATTCTTGAAACTGTTCTGATCTAAAGATGTTTGGGCTGAGCCTGTTTCTAAAGTTAATGGATTTGTGTGTGTGTGTGTTTGTGTGTGTCGTGACACACTGGTGCGTGTGTCAGACGTGTGAGTGGGTGTGTTGATCAGAGGAACATGCTCCGGTAAGGGACCAGTGGTCATATCTCCATGTGGTTGCCTCCCTGACCAAATAGCTAACGTCCAACAAATGTCACCCAACATATGTCATGCAACAACATGCATCAGATGGACAGATGAAGAACTACATACTTTTGGTATGTCTAAACAGCAGACCTTTATAGGCTGACATAGACAGACTTCATTAGATTGACGTATACAGTACTGGTGTACAACTCTACTGCCCCTGTAATGGTGTACAAGACTGGTGTACAACTCTACTGCCCCTGTAATGATGTACAAAACTGCTGTACAACTCTACTGCCCCTGTAATGATGTACAAGACTGCTGTACACTCTACTGCCCCTGTAATGGTGTACAAGACTGCTGTACAACTCTACTGCCCCTGTAATGGTGTACAAGACTGGTGTACAACTCTACTGCCCCTGTAATGGTGTACAAGACTGGTGTACAATTCTACTGCCCCTGTAATGGTGTACAAGACTGGTGTACAACTCTACTGCCCCTGTAATGGTGTACAAGACTGGTGTACAACTACTTCCCCAACAAATGAAGTTTCTCTTTCACCGTACACCTCACAACTTGAAATTCCGCCGTTAATTTTAGAATCTCTCCCACGGCGCACCGAGCCTGCGCATGCTCATTATCTCCTAAAGGGAACTAATTCCGACCTTCCAACCCACACTTCTGCCAAGGGATAAGGTACACCGTTATCGGCCAAGTTACCCATAATTCTTTTCTCATGAAAGTTTTCTACGCCAAAAAGAAAAAAAAATTGTCAACATTTCAAGAAACGCAGTCTGTCTTCTGTTTCTATCATTTCCTCGCTGAATTTTTTAGGGTTGAAAATGAAAACTAAGTGTTTAAAAAATGGGAAACTATTTTTTTTTTAGTTGGAAGAGTTGCGTCATGATCTCTAGCCCAGAGCTTGAAAGAGATGTGAGGTTTAAACTTCGACTTAATCCTAACCCAAACCTTGTCAAATAGATCATCGTAAGCAGATCATACAAAGTCGTGGGATTTTCTCTCATGTCGGCGTCCTTGTGTGAATATTTAGAACGTCGTTGTGTGAATGTTTAGCCTGCACATCGTTGTGTGAATTTTTAGCATGAACGTCGTTGTGTGAATGTTTAGAACGTCGTTGTGTGAATGTTTAGAACGTCGTTGTGTGAATGTTTAGAACGTCGTTGTGTGAATGTTTAGAACGTCGTTGTGTGAATGTTTAGCATGAACGTCGTTGTGTGAATGTTTAGAACGTCGTTGTGTGAATGTTTAGAACGTCGTTGTGTGAATGTTTAGAACGTCGTTGTGTGAATATTTAGAACGTCGTTGTGTGAATATTTAGAACATTGTTGTGTGAATGTTTAGAACGTCGTTGTGTGAATGTTTAGAACGTCGTTGTGTGAATGTTTAGAACGTCGTTGTGTGAATGTTTAGAACATCGTTGTGTGAATGTTTAGAACGTCGTTGTGTGAATGTTTAGAACGTCGTTGTGTGAATGTTTAGAACGTCGTTGTGTGAATGTTTAGAACATCGTTGTGTGAATGTTTAGAACGTCGTTGTGTGAATGTTTAGAACGTCGTTGTGTGAATGTTTAGCCTGGACGTCGTTGTGTGAATGTTTAGAACGTCGTTGTGTGAATGTTTAGAACGTCGTTGTGTGAATGTTTAGAACGTCGTTGTGTGAATGTTTAGAACGTCGTTGTGTGAATGTTTAGCCTGGACGTCGTTGTGTGAATGTTAAGAACGTCGTTGTGTGAATGTTTAGAACGTCGTTGTGTGAATGTTTAGAACGTCGTTGTGTGAATGTTTAGAACGTCGTTGTGTGAATGTTTAGAACGTCGTTGTGTGAATGTTTAGCCTGGACGTCGTTGTGTGAATGTTTAGAACGTCGTTGTGTGAATGTTTAGAACGTCGTTGTGTGAATGTTTAGCCTGGAACACCGTGTCCTACCTATCAGTCTAAAACCATGTCCTAGCTAGCAGTCTAAAACCATGTCCTACCTTCAAGCTCCTCTTTGGTCAAATCTGAGGAGGACATGTTGATCTGTTGATCTGTTGATCTGCTCTGGGTTGAAATAAGTTCTTAACCTTTGACCTGCGGGGACAGTAAATTAGACACGTGACACCAGACACGTGACACCAGACACGTGACACTAAGTGGGTGGTCAACTGACCAACACAATGCTTTAGACACCAGACACGTGACACTAACTGGATGGTCAACTGACCAACACAATGCTTTAGACACCAGACACGTGACACTAACTGGATGGTCAGCTGACCAACACAATGCTTTAGACACCAGACACGTGACACTAACTGGATGGTCAGCTGACCAACACAATGCTTTAGACACCAGACACGTGACACTAACTGGATGGTCAACTGACCAACACAATGCTTTAGACACAGCACAGTTTGATTAGGTGAATACAGATGGTCTGTCTGTCTTCTTAGTTGAGTTTGTCTGTCTTTCTTCTTAGAGTTTTGTCTGTCTACATGGTGTAAAAGTGTCCGTCTGTTCTGTCTAATGAATTCTAGCGTGTCTGGAGTCTGGCTACTCGGTCTAGTTTAAGTCTGCCATATGTACTTAATTTCTGGTCTGTCTACGTAATGTCTGCTACTGAGATGTCTGTCTATCAGGAGTCAATTGTTTTTGTTATGAGACGATGTGAAATCAGAAAGTAACGAAAAGATTTCCTATTTAGTAATGGTTTTAAAATTGCCAAAATAAAAACATTTTTTTTTTAATTTTAGATATAACTTTAAAAATTCAATCAATCCATCCAATTATGAAAAAAAAATGTTGCTTAATTAAATATCACAAAAACTAATTAGTAGATGTCAATCAACAAGTTAAGTAGACTAGGATCCAATCAAAATGTAATTAAATAATTTTAAAAACAATTTATTTTATTTAAATTAAAGTCAATCTTTAAGTAAAACAACTACAATCACTTTAAAAATGTGTTAGTTGTCCCTACAATCACTTTAAAATCCCAGCAAGACCTTAGATAAAAAGTGAACTACAAACTACAAACACACTTGAATTATCCGACAGCCAAACAAAACAGAAGTGAGTGGACGGCTGGTAACTGAACTGAACGGCTGGTAGACCTGGGGCGAGAACGGTTCTAGAACATCCGCAAAACGCAAATAGATGCACGAGCGTGTGTTCACGTGAGTACTACATGGAGGCGGGGCTTGCTCGCAGGTAAAAAAAAATGTTGGTATCGATTCGTTTTTTCTTGTAGTTATGCTTTAGTGCATACGATACGATATTTTTTCAATGGCCGTTTAAAGATTGTAATTAATTAAAACAATAGGTAGCGAGTTTAAGAAAGTGGATGTGTGTGGGAGGGGAGTGTGTGTGTGTGTGTGTAAGGGGAGTGTGCGTATGGTGTGGGGGGGGGGGAGTGTGTGTGTGCGCGTTTAGGTGGGGGGGTAATAAAAAGAAAACTTTTGAATAAATAGCTTTGGTGACAAGGAACATGACTGAACTAAGTCAGGTCAGCTATGACTTAGAGTCAGTGGTCAGTTGGTGGTCAGCAGGTGATGGAGTATCACGTTTAGAGAGCCCGTGCTAGTTACACGTCATTTTATAGGCCGATGTTATAAGAAAGTCTAGAGGGTTCATTGTATTATTGGTGATTTTAGTGGCGGCTAGCCGTACCGGCCAGGCCATGCACTGGCATTCGAGGTAAAATAAATTTGTAAACGGCCGTGACTTGTGGGCTCATTATTTAATAGGACATTTTAGATAACCTGGTATTTTTCCACCTGAGCTATCTCTTTACCAAATATCAACGTTTTGTCGCATCTGAAAGTGGTTGGTCTAATTCAAGCACTTTTAAAAATGTAGTCTATATAAGGCCGCGGTCAGTTTAATTCAGTTTTCGGTCACTTTAAACTCGATTACTGAAATGACTCAAATTTTCCCGGTAAAAAGAAAGTGAACAGCAAACTTTGTCAAGAACAATTACCTGCAACTTACCTGCAACTTACCCGCAAGTGCCTGATCTAATAGATGTGAGCAACATACAAGCCAAACAAACAAACAAACAAACATCACCCACTTTGTTTTTTTTTTAAAATATATTTTATTGGTGATTTGATTGGTGATTTTTGTATTGAACTCGTTCATGTATCTGCAGCAGGCCTATTATCATGCTATTTTGGAACGTTGTGCACCTATTTATAGACTGCTATTCTATTTTTGTTTTCACATTTACTGAAGAAGAAAAAAAATGACAAAAAAACACATCCAGTCCACCATACTGACCTTCACCTTCACGTGGCGGAAGTCGAATCTGACGCAGACGTAAAGCAGACGGCGCCTGGGCTTACACCACAAACCAAAACACGAAACCTTTGGGGAGTTCGTGTTTTGGAACTCTCAAAAGGTCACCGAAGCAGACGATTATCAGAAAACCTGCTTCAAACCAAATTGTTTTGGAGATTGCGTCGCTTCATACGACCTTACTGAATAGTATACAGAGTTTCTTTCAGGCGTATCTTGGGGGTAGAACAAAGTTGTTTTTTTTTAAAACCCTAAGCCTAAGCGGTACACTATTATAAGTACTGTTGACATTGAGATGGACCAAACATGGTTCTTAAACATTTTCGTCTTTTTGTTATAGATCTACTTAAGGTTTAAAACATAAGCTTCAATATTTATAGATCTATATTTGTATTTAAAATCATCGTACAGATCCAGAGAGCTTATAAATGGATGCTTCTTCTCTACACTCGTCGACATTCTCATCAGAAATATTGTTTTTTGGAGCGGCGTGGTCGGATGGTCCAATGCTAACCCTGAAGTCACGTGTTCGGATCCTTGACTCGAATACGTAGGATATCCCTGAGTCCACTCAGCTCTAATAGGTACCTGGCTCACGTTAATGAAAACTAGAACGGCTGACTACACTAGCTCTACCGTTATCTGTCGGGGTATTTGAGACAGGTGAAGAGTTCTTTAATGCAATGCGCCTCTCCGTGGTGTAAAAATATATTTTAAAAGTTTGTAGTTCACGATGTCAATTTGATTAAAACACAGCAAGATTTACTTGAATTGCATGGTGCCCTTGAGTTGACCATCTATGACCTTGACACACGTGGTGCCCTTGAGTTGAAAATCTATGACCTTGACATGCGTGGTGTCCTTGAGTTGACCATCTATGACCTTGACATGCGTGGTGTCCTTGAGTTGACCACATATGACCTTGACATGCGTGGTGCCCTTGAGTTGAAAATCCATGACCTTGACATGCGTGGTGCCCTTGAGTTAAACATCTATGACCTTGACACACGCGGTGACCATCGGTATGACGTAGTTGACCAAGTTTGTTTACATTAGCAGTCATCATGTGGCGACAAAAATCTAGATCTGTTTAACTTTTCTTCAAATTGTGTAAACTTACATCTTCATATTTAGAAAACATGTAAAACAATTTAATTTTTGTTAGAAATGTACTAATACGTAAACTAGTTAAGTCAGCCTATTATTCGTCCAACCGTTTTAAATGGTAAAAATTCTGTTGTGAAAAATGATAAACCACCCCCACCCCTCCCCAAATGGATGCTTGAAACAACAACCCCCCCCCCCCCCAGGAACTCTAAAGAAAATCTCAAAATCAAAATGTGGAATCGCGTGATATTTGAAATGAAATTAAACTCGATACTGAAATATCGTTGAAAAGATTTCCTGAGTGACGTAGTACGAAGCTACGGCTGTAAAAGGAAGATTCGGCCACGAGACTCTCTGCGCGTGCTACATTTACCGTAAAACTTTCAATAACCTGCAGTTTCCTTTTGTTTTTCAACATTTAAAATTAATGCTATCCTTTAAAGTGAATTTTTAAAAATGTTTTCAATTTGCTTTTTACTTGATAGTAATAATAATATAATGGTGTCGGGTATAATAAAGATATGCTATGTGAAATTTCATAGGTTTATTTCTTTTCAATTTCTTAAAATGATGCAAAAAGTACGTCTATTTTCACTAACTTTCCTCAAGAATTTTTAAAATGTATGTTTGCTATATTACAGAGTACGACTAAAGAAATGTACTAAGATGTCAATAAAAGTATTAAACCCTACAGAGAAGGCCGGATGTTTCTGGTCCGTACAGCCGAGTGAAAAAACAAGTTTTACTGTATTTCACGTGTGCTGGCTGGCCTCCTTAAAGTTTTGAAATGAGTTGGAATTTGTTGGGAGAAAAACACGTGCAGGTATTGTGCACAGGTGGAGGTGAGCTGTGTTGGGTAGGGGGGGGGCAGGTGAGCTGTGTTGGGTAGGGGGGGGCAGGTGAGCTGTGTTGGGTAGGAGGAAACTACAAAAAAATAAAAAAATTTAAAAGTTAACTACCAGGCTTTTGGAGGTTTGAATTTATTTTAAGGTGTGGTGGGTGAGATATGGTTGTGCTGGATTGGCGATACACACATACCAAGGCACCTATGTGTGTGTGGTGGGGGGGGGATCTTGTGTAGTAGATGAACTGAACAAATAGACTACAACACCAGTACATTGAAAACATTTAGACCAACTGAACAAATAGACTACAACACCAGTACATTGAAAACATTTAGACCAACTGAACAAATAGACTACAACACCAGTACACTGAAAACATTTAGACCAACTGAACAAATAGACTACAACAGCAGTACATTGAAAACATTTAGACCAACTGAACAAATAGACTACAACAGCAGTACACTGAAAACATTTAGACCAACTGAACAAATAGACTACAACAGCAGTACATTGAAAACATTTAGACCAACTGAACAAATAGACTACAACACCAGTACATTGAAAACATTTAGACCAACTGAACAAATAGACTACATACAACACCAGTACACTGAAAACATTTAGACCAACTGAACAAATAGACTACAACAGCAGTACACTGAAAACTTTTAGACCAACTGAACAAATAGACTACAACAGCAGTACATTGAAAACATTTAGACCAACTGAACAAATAGACTACAACACCAGTACATTGAAAACATTTAGACCAACTGAACAAATAGACTACATACAACACCAGTACACTGAAAACATTTAGACCAACTGAACAAATAGACTACAACAGCAGTACACTGAAAACTTTTAGACCAACTGAACAAATAGACTACAACACCAGTACATTGAAAACATTTAGACCAACTGAACAAATAGACTACAACACCAGTACATTGAAAACATTTAGACCAACTGAACAAATAGACTACATACAACACCAGTACACTGAAAACATTTAGACCAACTGAACAAATAGACTACAACACCAGTACACTGAAAACATTTAGACCAACTGAACAAATAGACTACAACACCAGTACATTGAAAACATTTAGACCAACTGAACAAATAGACTACAACACCAGTACATTGAAAACATTTAGACCAACTGAACAAATAGACTACAACACCAGTACATTGTAAACACTTAGACAAAGAAAAAACCAAGAGATAAAAATGGCATACTTTAATAATATGACAAACATATTCATGTTATGTTGACAAAATCTGAGCTAGCTAACTTCACATTAGGGAGAGGGCAACAGTTCAGCTGGTATTCTATAACAGACATAGGCAGTCTCACACTTTTATATTTGACACAATCAGATACAGTTGGTGGCACAATCATATATAGCTATTGACACAATCAGATATAGCTATTGACACAATCAGATATAGCTGGTGGCACAATATAGCTATTGACACACTCAGATATAGCTGGTGGCACAATATAGCTATTGACACAATCAGACATAGCTATTGACACAATGAGACATTGGCAAAAGCTCATATAGTTATTAGACACAGCTATTGGCATAGCCATTATCAGTCTTCCCAATGGCACAAAACCTTCATACAAACAAACCTTTGAGTGACGCTAGAGTTATAAGATAGTTTAACCAAGCATGAAATGAATGTTAAACCAACAACACTAACATATGTACTTTCACTAGCCAGGGGGGGGGTTAAATGAATGGAAGATCAAATGGAAAAAAACATTTTTGTACATAAACATGTCATGATGACATGAATGTTGGCATTTGTTTCTCTGACATCTGTCATTTAGTATCACCACTGAGCCTGCCAGTGTCAGATGTCAACAACAGCTAGTGTCAGTGACAACAGTGTCAGTGCAGGTTTGGCAGGTTAGATGTCAGCTACGTGTATGTCACTATGTCGGGGGGGGGGGGGGGCTGCTGGTACCTGAGGGAACATTCAAAATAACAAAAGCACAAGGCAAGACCAAAAGATACATCACCATCTTCATGGATTAGGCCACACTCATAGAACATGCATTTAAATTAAAGCGAAGATCTGAAAACAACACAGAACTCCACAGAACTAGTTTTTCACAAGCAGCTTGATAACATCCTGTTGGTGGCTGACTTCTCTGGAAGAATGGATAGGCTGACTGGATGGATGACTGGATAGGATGACCGGGTGACAGACCGGGTGATTGCTTAGTTTCTTGGTTTATTCAGGTCAGGTATGGTCCAGTATCTACCTACAAGGTCGCGGTGACACGGGAGGTCGCACCCTCTTCATCCCCAGCTGGCAGAGAAGAGCGGATTAGGGTTAGCAAAACATGCAATTGGTTAAGGTTAGGACTAGCAAAACATGCAATTGGTTAAGGTTAGGACTAGGAACAGGTTAAGTTTAAGGCTTGGACAAAATTCTAGGATAAAGTTTCAAGATCTGCAAATCTAAAAACATTTCTAGACCAGCACAAACTAGCACTAACTAGCACTAACTGTTCCAGTGGTCTAAATGGTTAATATTGTGCACACTTCTACTAGAGTTTAGGATTAGGGTTAGTAACATTAAACCCAATCTAATATATTACATGGTTTAGTAACTCAAACCTCACCTAATTATAGATCTAAAAATAAATAAATCAAGCACTCTACTTGGTTAACAATTGAAGAGCCCAGTGCTAAAAGTACTTAAGTCACATTTTTGTGAAAATCAAACCAAGCATTGATCATTATTCCTCTAGTTTAATTTTATCTTATAAACAAATAGTGATACTGAAGAATTTATTTAATTTGCTCTTCCAAACAAACAAATAATATAAAAACATAATGTTTCATAGTAAATTTTAATCTTTGAACTCATTTTTCTCAAAATGTTGTTTTTGTGACTTAAGTACTTTTAGCACTAAGGTCTTCAATTAGAAACTAGAGTAATTAATTAATTAATTACTGTATTAACAATTAAATAAAATGTAAATAACAGATTAACAAATTTCTAGTTGTCGAGTGGTTCTCAAACTAGTGTCATATAGAGTCATCTGAGAACCCCCGCACAGTACAGTGCTCTACCAACAATCAAACAATCCCAACATATTTTGTAATGGAAGAAAAAAAGTAACAAAAGTAATATAGAAAATCTCAAACATCATATTCAAACGTTTTCAACATGTCAGAAAGCTCAAAGGTTAGTAACAAGCTGAGACCACTGGTAGGGTAGGACAACAATCTCATTGTTATGGGGGGGGAGAACAAAAGGTCATGTGACATACCCTCTTCTAATGCACATCATCATTTATAAGCATTATAGCTGTCACTTACAAGATAACACCAGTCTGACCCTAACAGACCAATCCACTACAATCCACCAGTCTGACCCTAACAGCCCAATCCACTACAATCCACCAGTCTAACCCTAACAGCCCAATCCACTACAATCCACCAGTCTAACCCTAACAGCCCAATCCACTACAATCCACCAGTCTGACCCTAACAGCCCAATCCACTACAATCCACCAGTCTGCCAATCCACCACAATCCACCAGTCTAACCCTAACAGCCCAATCCACTACAATCCACCAGTCTGACCCTAACAGCCCAATCCACTACAATCCACCAGTCTAACCCTAACAACCCAATCCACTACAATCCACCAGTCTGACCCTAACAGCCCAATCCACTACAATCCACCAGTCTAACCCTAACAACCCAATCCACTACAATCCACCAGTCTGCCAATCCACCACAATCCACCAGTCTAACCCTAACAACACAATCCACCACACCAACACAAGGCCTACATTTTCCAGAACACAAATTGGTACTCACAGAGTAAAAACCAATTAAAATCACAAATTTAATCGTGGCTAAATCCCACCCATCAAAGTGGGTTTTTAAAACTGAGACAGTCAACAAACAGCAGATTTGTGTGGACAGACTGATGAAATATTGCACACATCTATTAGCCTCGTTAGTGCAGCCTACCTAAATTTTAATTACTGGATGTTAAAATAATGAACTAAATATTAAAGCATAAACAAAATTAATACTCATTTTTACATTAAAGCTGAACTCGTTAAAAAAATCTAACATAGATTAATGTTTAAAAATTATCAATAACTGATTATAATTATTTAATCTGCAAACAGCTGATCAGAATAAATTACTATCAAATTCTATTTCTGCTGATGAAAGTTGTAATTTTTTGTAAAAAAAAAACAACTTTTTTTCAATTTTTAAACAACAACTGAAAAAGTGTCAAAGAAAATCTTCCACAAAGCATGAACAAATGTTTGAACGGAGTCGATGATGACGCTCTGGTTTAAGTGCTGGCTTCTGGCAACTTTACGGCCCAGGCCACTTAGCACCGAACATCCAACACAGCACCCGATAGCCCACTTAGCACCCAACTACCTGCTTAGCACCAACCATCCCAATGAGCACCAAACAGTCTGTGCTGTGCCAGGTACAAGAGAAAGGTTGCCAGATTTGAGCATAAACCAAACCATTTCCTCGGCCAACAAAGCAAGGGAAAGCTAATCAGTCTCTACAATAATACATTCAGTCCTTGAACTGCTCATGGCGGCCGAGCTGTAGTGTTCCTCCATCAGCATCACCACGCGCATCTGTTTCTTGTACTCCGGCGGCACCTGCAACCATTGGCAAAATTTTATTTCAAGCACCAAAACTTTTAGCCAGGCTTGTGCACGGCATGCTGGAATTAAGGAAAGGTCAAGCTGACCTACCTGGAACATGGTGCCGTGTCCAGGTATGATGTAATCTGCCGTACTCAAGATGTGGATGACCTACCTGGAACATGGTGCCGTGGCCAGGTATGATGTAATCTGCTGTACTCAAGATGTGGATGACCTACCTGGAACATGGTGCCGTGGCCAGGTATGATGTAATCTGCTGTACTCAAGATGTGGATGACCTACCTGGAACATGGTGCCGTGGCCAGGTATGATGTAATCTGCTGTACTCAAGATGTGGATGACCTACCTGGAACATGGTGCCGTGGCCAGGTATGATGTAATCTGCTGTACTCAAGATGTGGATGACCTACCTGGAACATGGTGCCGTGGCCAGGTATGATGTAATCTGCTGTACTCAAGATGTGGATGACCTACCTGGAACATGGTGCCGTGGCCAGGTATGATGTAATCTGCTGTACTCAAGATGTGGATGACCTACCTGGAACATGGTGCCGTGGCCAGGTATGATGTAATCTGCTGTACTCAAGATGTGGATGACCTACCTGGAACATGGTGCCGTGGCCAGGTATGATGTAATCTGCTGTACTCAAGATGTGGATGACCTACCTGGAACATGGTGCCGTGGCCAGGTATGATGTAATCTGCTGTACTCAAGATGTGGATGACCTACCTGGAACATGGTGCCGTGGCCAGGTATGATGTAATCTGCTGTACTCAAGATGTGGATGACCTACCTGGAACATGGTGCCGTGGCCAGGTATGATGTAATCTGCTGTACTCAAGATGTGGATGACCTACCTGGAACATGGTGCCGTGGCCAGGTATGATGTAATCTGCTGTACTCAAGATGTGGATGCGACTCTGTTCCTGCAGGTGGGGGCGCTCACTGTTCTCCTGCCACAGGCCGGGGCAGTCCAGGTCAGCCTCACATTCAAACAGGTCTCCTGCAACACAGGACATCAACAATACCACATCAACTTCACAGTATTGACTTCAAGTGTCTTAAAACTTTATTTACTTTTTACTCTGTTTATCTTCAAACTAAATTATGGTTTATAAAACTTATGGTGATGGTTAAAAGATAAACCTAGTACTAAAAAAGAACTATTGAAAGACGAACCGACAACAGCAACGACTCCTAGGTTTGTGTGCTTGACCAACACAGACACATCGCTGCCAGTGTGGCCTGGTGTTGGCCAGATTTCTACATCATTGTCAATTTCATAAGGAATTCCCTGGAACAAGGTTTCATTTCAAGTTTCAAATCAACCAAATCAAACCTTAATTTTAAAAACTGTCAACTAAATCATCACTGTTGCCTAATTAATCACTGTTGCCTAATTAATCACTGTTGCCTAATTAATCACTGTTTAAGACCACCAGATAACTAAAAATATTTGTGCCATCGCTAATCCAAGAACAAACTACAAGGCGGAAGTTGTTTGAATTTTTAGAGTTTTCTCTCCTAAAAGGTTTGCTGTCCCCTGCTATCAAGCCTCATCTGCGAGGGGTTTGAACAAGGGACTTTTTCGCTAAGAAACTATGAGCTTTACTGACCCAACCATGCCAAATCCATTTAAGTCTAATGATTAAAACACTGTTCAATGCAAATAAAAAAACAACAGCAGGGAATAGTGCAACAACTACACTAGAACACAACAAAGTGCGACTACTTCTAGTACCTATTTAAACTCATGCAGCAAATACTGGTCCCTACACTAGCACAAAGTGAAACTACTTCTAGTACCTCTTTAAACTCATGCAGCAAGTACTGGTCCCTCTTGTAGATATCATAGCCCACACACTGCACAGCTTGAGGGAAGAGACTGAGGTTGCCAACGTGGTCAGAGTGACCGTGTGTACAAATGACATAATGGATGTCATCAGGTTTTAGAGATTGTGAGGTTAGGCCTGAAATCACAACAAACATGCAAAGTGTTAGTCTAACACAGCAGCACAAACATAACCATGTATTCCAACAATGTTCCAACAATGTTACAACAATGTTCCAACAATGTTCCAACAATGTTCCAACAATACTCCAACAATGTTCCAACAATGTTCCAACAATGTTCCAACAATGTTCCAACAATGTTCCAACAATGTTCCAACAATGTTCCAACAATGTTCCAACAATGTTCCAACAATGTTCCAACAATGTTCCAACAATGTTCCAACAATGTTCCAACAAACTAAAACATTTGATGCAACATTCATTTTTCCACCTCCGGCTGTAGACTCAAGCAGTCCAACATAGTGTTTGTATAAATTAGTTTCAGCCAATCAAGTTCAACTGCCACTATATTGTGTTACACTAGGGTAAGCAAGTCATGGCATCTACTTGTAACAACACCAACCAGCTGTCTGTTAGTGTCTAGCACACCAAACAACACCAACCAGCTGTCTGTTAGTGTCTAGCACACCAAGCAACACCAAACAGCTGTCTGTTAGTGTCTAGCACACCAGGCTACACCAAACAGCTGTCTGTTAGTGTCTAGCACATCAAACAGCTGTCTGTTAGTGTCTAGCACATCAAACAGCTGTCTGTTAGTGTCTAGCACATCAAACAGCTGTCTGTTAGTGTCTAGCACATCAAACAGCTGTCTGTTAGTGTCTAGCACACCAACCAGCTGTCTGTTAGTGTCTAGCACACCAACCAGCTGTCTGTTAGTGTCTAGCACACCAGGCATAAGCAGAAACCTAACCTCTCTGAACCCATGTAGATGGTACGTGTCCCCTTTACAAACATCGCCAGCCACAAGCTGTACGGCTGACGTAAACAGGTTCAAGTTGCCCGTCTGAGCCATTTTACCACTTGTACAGATCACGTAATGAATCATATCAGGGCTCAACCCTCGGTCAGTCAGGGCTAGTTAAAGGGTCAGATAATGTGTTAGGTTTACTGTGTCTTGGTTAGGTCAATGGTCAGTCAAAGGGTCAGCCAGGGCTAGTAAAAGGGTCAGATAATGTGTTAGGTTTACTGTGTCTTGGTTAGGTCAAGGGTCAGTCAAAGGGTCAGCCAGGGCTAGTTAAAGGGTCAGATAATGTGTTAGATTTACTGTGTCTTGGTTAGGTCAAGGGTCAGTCAAAGGGTCAGTCAGGGCTAGTTAAAGGGTCAGATAATGTGCTAGGTTTACTGTGTCTTGGTTAGGTCAAGGGTCAGTCAAAGGGTCACATATTGAGCTAGGTTTACTGCGTCTTGGTTAGGTCAAGGGTCAGTCAAAGGGTCAGATAATGAGCAAGGTTTACTGTATCTTGGTTAGGTCAAGGGTCAGTCAAAGGGTCAGCCAGGGCTAGTTAAAGGGTCAGATAATGTGCTAGGTTTACTGTGTCTTGGTTAGGTCAAGGGTCAGTCAAAGGGTCACATATTGAGCTAGGTTTACTGCGTCTTGGTTAGGTCAAGGGTCAGTCAAAGGGTCAGATAATGAGCTAGGTTTACTGTATCTTGGTTAGGTCAAGGGTCAGTCAAAGGGTCAGATAATGAGCTAGGTTTACTGTATCTTGGTTAGGTCAAGGGTCAGATAATGAGCTAGGTAATTACTGTGTCTTGGTTAGGTCAAGGGTCAGTCAAAGGGTCAAATAATGAGCTAGGTTTACTGTGTCTTGGTTAGGTCAAGGGTCAGTCAAAGGGTCAGTCAGGGCTAGTTAAAGGGTCAGATAATGTGCTAGGTTTACTGTGTCTTGGTTAGGTCAAGGGTCAGTCAAAGGGTCAGATAATGAGCTAGGTTTACTGTATCTTGGTTAGGTCAAGGGTCAGTCAAAGGGTCAGATAATGAGCTAGGTTTACTGTATCTTGGTTAGGTCAAGGGTCAGATAATGAGCTAGGTAATTACTGTGTCTTGGTTAGGTCAAGGGTCAGTCAAAGGGTCAGTCAGTGCTAGTTAAAGGGTCAGATAATGTGCTAGGTTTACTGTGTCTAGGTTAGGTCAAGGGTCAGTCAAAGGGTCACATATTGAGCTAGGTTTACTGCGTCTTGGTTAGGTCAAGGGTCAGTCAAAGGGTCAGATAATGAGCTAGGTTTACTGCGTCTTGGTTAGGTCAAGGGTCAGTCAAAGGGTCAGATAATGAGCTAGGTTTACTGTATCTTGGTTAGGTCAAGGGTCAGTCAAAGGGTCAGATAATGAGCTAGGTTTACTGTATCTTGGTTAGGTCAAGGGTCAGATAATGAGCTAGGTAATTACTGTGTCTTGGTTAGGTCAAGGGTCAGTCAAAGGGTCAAATAATGAGCTAGGTTTACTGTGTCTTGGTTAGGTCAAGGGTCAGTCAAAGGGTCAGTCAGGGCTAGTTAAAGGGTCAGATAATGTGCTAGGTTTACTGTGTCTTGGTTAGGTCAAGGGTCAGTCAAAGGGTCAGATAATGAGCTAGGTTTACTGTATCTTGGTTAGGTCAAGGGTCAGTCAAAGGGTCAGATAATGAGCTAGGTTTACTGTATCTTGGTTAGGTCAAGGGTCAGATAATGAGCTAGGTAATTACTGTGTCTTGGTTAGGTCAAGGGTCAGTCAAAGGGTCAGTCAGTGCTAGTTAAAGGGTCAGATAATGTGCTAGGTTTACTGTGTCTAGGTTAGGTCAAGGGTCAGTCAAAGGGTCACATATTGAGCTAGGTTTACTGCGTCTTGGTTAGGTCAAGGGTCAGTCAAAGGGTCAGATAATGAGCTAGGTTTACTGTATCTTGGTTAGGTCAAGGGTCAGTCAAAGGGTCAGATAATGAGCTAGGTTTACTGTATCTTGGTTAGGTCAAGGGTCAGATAATGAGCTAGGTAATTACTGTGTCTTGGTTAGGTCAAGGGTCAGTCAAAGGGTCAAATAATGAGCTAGGTTTACTGTGTCTTGGTTAGGTCAAGGGTCAGTCAAAGGGTCAGCCAGGGCTAGTACAAGGGTCAGATAATGTGTTAGGTTTACTGTGTCTTGGTTAGGTCAAGGGTCAGTCAAAGGGTCAGTCAGGGCTAGTTAAAGGGTCAGATAATGTGCTAGGTTTACTGTGTCTTGGTTAGGTCAAGGGTCAGTCAAAGGGTCACATATTGAGCTAGGTTTACTGCGTCTTGGTTAGGTCAAGGGTCAGTCAAAGGGTCAGATAATGAGCTAGGTTTACTGTATCTTGGTTAGGTCAAGGGTCAGTCAAAGGGTCAGATAATGAGCTAGGTTTACTGTATCTTGGTTAGGTCAAGGGTCAGATAATGAGCTAGGTAATTACTGTGTCTTGGTTAGGTCAAGGGTCAGTCAAAGGGTCAAATAATGAGCTAGGTTTACTGTGTCTTGGTTAGGTCAAGGGTCAGTCAAAGGGTCAAATAATGAGCTAGGTTTACTGTGTCTTGGTTAGGTCAAGGGTCAGTCAAAGGGTCAAATAATGAGCTAGGTTTACTGTGTCTTGGTTAGGTCAAGGGTCAATCAAAGGGTCAGTCAGTGCTAGTAAAAGGGTCAGATAATGAGCTAGGTTTACTGTGTCTTGGTTAGGTCAAGGGTCAGTCAAAGCCTATTGGTTAAACCAAGCTGTAAACTTAAACACTACCTTTGTTAAACCAAGCTGTAAACTCTAACACTACCTTTGTTAAACCAAGCTGTAAACTTTAACACTACCTTTGCTAAGAGAGAACATTTTTAGCTCATCTTTAAACAAAACAACCTAATTATAATAAAAGGTTTGACAAAGTTTCTTACTTAGCAGTATGTGAAAGGACAAGGCATATCCCAGTGGAGCAAGACATTAGGACAAGGTGGAGATGGATAGCCAAAGGTTGAAGAAACTGGCGACAAGACAGTATCACCAGACAAGGCATATATCATGAAATCCACAACAAGGATCAAGAAAAAGATGGAAACCCATAGAGAAATTGAAAAAGACATGAAAGATTATTGGCAAGAGTTGAAAAGAAATATAAATAATCAGCTAACAGACAGAATATCATTGATTATGATTTACATGTTCTCAAACTGAATTAGAAACCCTCAGAAATAAAGTACAAGAAGTTAGTTAGAGTATAATGTTTCTATCCCATGGATTGAAGAAGTTACCTGTAAGTATAATGTCCTTATCCCATGGATTGCCTGTATCCACTATGATGTTGTACTTTGGCCCTTTCAACAATGTGATGCTGCCACATGCTCTCAGAGTACCTGAGTGGAATCAATTTAAAGATTATAAAATTCTTCTGTGGCTTGCTCATACTGAGTGGAATCAATGTGTAATTTAAAGATTATAAAATTCTTCTGTGGCTTGCTCATACTGAGTGCAATCAATGTGTAATTTAAAGATTATAAAATCCGTCTGTGGCTTGCTCATACTGAGTGGAATCAATGTGCAATTTAAAGATTATAAAATTCTTCTGTGGCTTGCTCATACTGAGTGGAATCAATGTGTAATTTAAAGATTATAAAATTCTTCTGTGGCTTGCTCATACTGAGTGGAATCAATGTGTAATTTAAAGATTATAAAATTCTTCTGTGGCTTGCTCATACTGAGTGGAATCAATGTGCAATTTAAAGATTATAAAATTCTTCTGTGGCTTGCTCATTAGCTAATTAATTGTTAAGCCTAAGGTAGATATGGCTTCCATAATTTTTTTTACTTTGAGAGTACTATACTAAATACTTTAATAAAAATGATGGTGGAATGTCAATGTTAGTTAGAAAAATTGTCATTATGTTTGTACCATCGGATTTTGGGAAAGAGCGGGGGGGGGGGGGGGGGGGGTTGAGACTACTGTGTGTCAACCCCACAGAGTGGACTACCATGTGGCAACCCCACAGAGTGGACTACCATGTGTCAACCCCACAGAGTGGACTACCATGTGGCAACCCCACAGAGTGGACTACCATGTGTCAACCCCACAGAGTGGACTACCATGTGTCAACCCCACAGAGTGGACTACCATGTGGCAACCCCACAGAGTGGACTACCATGTGGCAACCCCACAGAGTGGACTACCGTGTGGCAACCCCACAGAGTGGACTACCGTGTGGCAACCCCACAGAGTGGACTACCATGTGGCAACCCCACAGAGTGGACTACCATGTGGCAACCCCACAGAGTGGACTACCATGTGGCAACCCCACAGAGTGGACTACCATGTGGCAACCCCACAGAGTGGACTACCATGTGGCAACCCCACAGAGTGGACTACCATGTGGCAACCCCACAGAGTGGACTACCATGTGGCAACCCCACAGAGTGGACTACCATGTGGCAACCCCACAGAGTGGACTACCATGTGGCAACCCCACAGAGTGGACTACCATGTGGCAACCCCACAGAGTGGACTACCATGTGGCAACCCCACAGAGTGGACTACCATGTGGCAACCCCACAGAGTGGACTACCATGTGGCAACCCCACAGAGTGGACTACCATGTGGCAACCCCACAGAGTGGACTACCATGTGACAAACCCACAGAGTGGACTACCATGTGGCAACCCCACAGAGTGGACTACCATGTGGCAACCCCACAGAGTGGACTACCATGTGGCAACCCCACAGACGGAACACTCACCCTGGGACTCTGGAATGTTATAGCCTTCTTTCAACACGATGACATCATACATTGCTAATCTTTTTCTTTCACTACCAGCAGATGTGGTAACTAAACAATGCTCAAAGATTCTGGCACCTCAGCAACACTGTTCTATGGACAAGTAAATCACAGATTGTTTGCTGTAAAGAAAATAGTATAAAATCCATGTAGATATCTTAGCCTACCTACTCAGTGCAGTAGTCATGAATTAGAAATGAGCTACATATAACTGAGTGAGTATGCCTTATTGACATTACTTAAGCGAATAAGTTTCAAACAGCTCAGCTGTTAGTAGTTAATGGATTGACAAGGATTAGGTCCTCTGTTACAATTAGTAGATGATAGATAATTAACACCCTAATTAATAATTTGCTGACTTTGGCGTTACTTAGGATTATAGTATTAAAATCAGTTAGTTAGACATGTGACGTGGCCTAGATGTTCATAACGAAAGCGTGTAGGCACGGAGAGATTGGGTGTGAGAGTGGCCTCCCCTAACAAGTGTGTGAACTCGAGTGTGTAAGCAGTGTGTGGTATCGTCAACTTAGGGTAGCATGTAGTCAGTGTTTTTGGTCTGAATGTTCACTGTTTCTCTGTTGTACTTGAAAGATTATATTTTATTGTGATAAACGAACGTTGGACTCTGTTTTTAATTGTGTTATGGCTAGTACCAACAGAAAGACGTCAACTGGGCATAACAAGTGAGGGCTTAAGTCCGGGATTTGAACACAACAAGAGTCGAAGTTTTTACCCCTAGACAAAAAGGAAAATGTCGAGTATCAACAGCAGCGTCACAACCGACTAGAAATTTTCTAGTATTAACGGCATCGTTACAGCCGACTAAAAAACATCTAGTATTAACGGCATCGTAACAGCCGACTGGAAAGTGTCTAGTATCAACGGCAGCGTCACAACCGACTGGAAAATTTCTAGTATCAACGGCAGTGTCACAACGGACGGGAAAATTTCTAGTATTAACGGCATCGTTACAGTCGACTAGATAATATCTAGTATTAACGGCAGTGTTACAGCCGACTAGAAAATGTCTCGTATCAACGGCAGCGTTACAGCCGACTAGAAAATATCTAGTATTAACGGCAGCAGTCATCGCCGACCGGAAAAGACTTAGTATCAACAGCCACAAAACTTGTGAACAGTGCTGCAGACATCATGGCCATAAATAATGAAGTTAAAAATACAGTGGTAAAGCTAGGAGAGAAGTTGAGAGAACTTGCTAGCTACAAAGTTGACTACATTAGCATATCAAGTAAGTTATCAAATTTTAGAGCTACAATATTAGCATCTCAGTCCTTGAGCACATCAGAAGCAAATCATGGCGCCGCCACTAACATGAAAGCTCTAGCTACTGTCCCACTTGTAGAAGACTTAGTCAACCAGACACGCAATCTAGGCAACAAGTTAGCAGAGTGGAGAACTAGGTCAAGGGCAGCTGAGCAGAAGGTAACTTTAATCCAGTATCAAGTTCATAGTCTTTTCAAAGATACTAATGAGACTTTAATCATAGTTAAAGACTGTGATGTCAAGATAGCAGGATCGAAACAAAAATGTTTGGACTCCAGAGCCAGAGCTGAGCAGAAGAGCCAGAGCCAACATCAGTGCCAGAGCCAGAGCCAGTGCCAGAGCCAGAGCCAGAGTCAAAGCAAGAGCCAGAGCCCGTGCCAGAGCCCGTGCCAGAGCCAAAACAAGAGCCAGAGCCAAAACCAGAGCCAGAGCCAAAACCAGAGCCAGAGCCAAAGCCAGAGCCGGAGCCAAAACCAGAGCCAAAGCCAGAGCGAGATCCAGATCGACATCCAGAGCCAGAATACTGTACCAAAATTAGAGTGGTGTACGAACTTGTATTATATGAATAGCTTCTAGTTTTCATTGTCATCATTGACTAGATTTATTTCAATATATCTCACTTCATAAAACGAAAGGAAAGTAACATTGTTCTGATGTCTTGTGATTCAATTCAAATGCTTTATTAATGACAAATGTTTTTTAAAAACCTTGTTGACTTATAGACTAGACGTATAAAGCTATAAGTAGTTAATTCATGCGTACGTCCAACATTTTACCCGCCATCATTTATTTATAGGGAGATTTAAAGCATGTAAAAGGTCAGATAAATATTGTATTAAATTTTTTTTACTGTACATGTTAAGTAGTTGAGCAGGATAGACCTTAGAAATGCTGTTTAATTTAAGGAAAAATAAGAAACCTCTTTTTTTAGGGGGGAGGTGTGACGTGGCCTAGATGTTCATAACGAAAGCGTGTAGGCACGGAGAGATTGGGTGTGAGAGTGGCCTCCCCTAACAAGTGTGTGAACTCGAGTGTGTAAGCAGTGTGTGGTATCGTCAACTTAGGGTAGCATGTAGTCAGTGTTTTTGGTCTGAATGTTCACTGTTTCTCTGTTGTACTTGAAAGATTATATTTTATTGTGATAAACGAACGTTGGACTCTGTTTTTAATTGTGTTATGGCTAGTTCCCAACAGAAAGACGTCAACTGACCATAACAGACATTACAATAATATTGTAAAATGAAAATGTTAGTTTTTTTTAAAAAAAGTTAACATTTGGTAATTTTATGATTTTAGTGTTGGTTATTATCCGGTATGGTTTAGTTGTAAAAAAATGTTAAATAAAAAGTAAAACAATGGCGTCAAGTCTGTCCACTGTCACACCATTCAGGGATACACCATAAGTACTGTAAATCATAATTTATTTTGTGCTTTCTTTTTTTAATACAGAGTTTTGAAAAATTTGGAAAGATTTATTTAGCTGCATGTTGAATAATGCTTTGGTAATCATTATTTATTGATAATTATTCTAGTGTTTTAGCTAATCATTATCATTGTTCAAGTAATTTCTACTAATACTATGCTATTTATAATTTTTTACCAACTGTTGCAAATATTCTGCAAGTTTTTACTTCTGTGTTTCTTAAACGTAAAAAAAAAACATTAATTAATAGGCCTACTACATTTCACATTTTCATTTTGATTTAGAAAATAAATGTACTAATAGACCTGACTAATTGTTGTTGATTTTCTGCACTTTTTTTCTGTTTCTTAAAACATTAAGTAGTACACTTGACTTTATATTTCATCAATCAAGTAAAATAAGTTTTACAGTAATTAATTAAGGATTACAAAACTCAACAAAAATGTCAGGTTAATTTCCCACCCTATTTGGCCATTTGGGAGATTACACTACATCTGTATTTTGTGCCTTTACCTAAAACTGATGCACCATGAGATTGGAACTTTCTGACCCCCCCCCCCCTTAAATGAAGTCACACCTCAGCCTACAACCCCCCCTCAAAATTGCAGTTGTATTTTTCTTAAAACATTGATATTTTTCCAAAATCTTGTCTGAACTCTGTCAACATAGAGTACTTTAATCAATTCCCATTAGCCTACAATTTCTTAAAATGCGAAATAATGATTAGAACTAGTTTTCTAACATTGATTTTTTATAATGCAAGAGTGTGATGTCACACCATCTAACCCCCCCCCCCCTCCGGATCATCACACCTTCACAAAATTACGAACCCCCCTGGCCCCTCCCCCCCCCCCTCCCAGAATGTGGCGTCATTTATGGACGACCCCAAAGGCTTTGATCTAGATCTGTTCATCTTCTAACTACTTGTTAGATCTAGAGATCTAGAATCTAGATCTAGTAGACAGAAGTGTAGGCTTACACTAGAGTTGACTAGAGAGAGATTCTAGTGACGTGAGTGAGTCAGTAGACAAGGGGGAGTGGACAAGTGCTAGATTTCTAGATTTAGATCCATTTGTTCACTCTAGTATTCTAGATCTAGATCTAGATTTCTAGCTTTGGCCGAATTTTCCACGCAAAACTTTAAACATAATAAATAAACTAAGAAGAAAGATTTTCACATTTTCTTTTGTGATTTTGTTGTTTACAATGAATTTTTACCGGCCAGGCTACACTACAGACTCCAGAGTACAGTTACTTGACTTACAGTTACACACTACAGTTGCGTGTAGTACTGACTAACTGCAAAAATTTCGTCAAAGGATTGTGTCTACATTTAAGACAGGTAAAGTTACAGAAAACATTGCATTTTATATCTAGATCTAGATTCTAGATCTATATCTACTTAGTAAGTAGTACTTACTGTAAGAATTCAACACTCGCCTCGACAGCGTTTCGTTTCTAACATTTCTGGAATTTTTTTCAGTCGTCCTTAACCTAGGCCAACCAATTTATGAGTAGTTTCCCCTGTTTGCCTAACTCCGCGTTTACATTTTCGACATGTAGGCTATTTTTGTCTATAGATAGGTCTAGATGTCTAGAAACAAAATTCTTGTAGTTTAGATTATACATGTTCCGTGGGGAAAAATATTTCAGATATCGTTAACTTGTTGCGAGGTTTTTTTCTAGACATGTATAGTGTACATATTGCTGGTGTAAACGCGGTTTAAAACAATACTAAAATGCCAAAATTACCGGCGAAACCAAACATGCCTATCTTCTAGTCTAGATCTATTATATAGCAGAGAGGTTATAATGTTGTTTTAATTCAAATGGATCATCCATGAATAACATCGCGCTATCTAAGCTTATTTTCATCGCCCCCCCCCCCCCTCATTAAGAAACAACTATCAGAACTCACGCCTTAGATCTCGATCTATTTTTTTTTTTAAATCGATTCTTAAAATATATTATTAAATTAAGTTAAGGAGGTTCAAAATCGGTAAAAATAAGCATAGTATTTATCAGTGGCGTAGCGAGGTCGGGTGTCACCCTGTGCGGCACTTAATGGTGTCAACCCCCAGAGCCGTAGCGACCCTTCCCGGGGACAAACTGTCAATTTTCGATTTGCATCACCCCCCCCCCCCCCAAACTTTCGATTTGCACCTCTTAAAAGACTATTTACCACTCGAATTAATGACTTAATTAAGTGGAATTATAATTTTTCTCTATATATATATTTAGCTATTTTTTGCCTTGGTGTCACCCCCTAAATGGTGTCACCCGGTGCGGTCCGCACTCCCCGCCCCCCCCCCCTTTTTTTCATGATCATAAATATTTAAATTAAACGTGTCCAACAAATTCTAAAATGTCATGTAACTCCTCTTATCATCTCACGCACATAGAGTCTAGATCTAAATCTATAAACATTGGAATAAAGATGAATCATTTTAGTGGGGTTCCCTTTTGAGAACTTTTTGAGTAACAAACGCATATCTAAATCTTAATAATACTACTAAAAGTCAAGTTTGTTTACATGTTTGAATATTTATTTGTTTGTTTGTTTGATTGTCCGATCGAGTATTGTGATATGTTCGACTCTATCTGGAGAGCTGTAAAATAGTATGTAGGTAGAGAATAATTTTTTTAATGCAGACAGACTGTTAATCACAAATTTATTTAAAGACGTTAATTAATTTATTGATTTATTCATACGTAGAGTAACCCATTTTTTTAAAAATGTTAAAACATTGACTAAACTTTGTGGGAATAGTGACGTCACAGGTTTTTGTTTACTCTTTAGTACAATAAAATGGCGGTGTCTATCGAAGAAAATTGTGTTCCCATTCAAAAGTTTAACGCGTTCTAAATCTAATTTTCTGTCGGTCATAACTTTAACAATACGTCCGTTTGCTGTATTTATTACGTTCCAACACTTATATCAATTTTCAACTGTCTTTTTCATTTAGTTTTACGATAAAATTCTCTAGATCTAAAATCTGTCCAAGAAAGTTATTTATAGATCTAGATCTAGAATCTAGGACAATCTAGGTCAAATCAAAGATTTATTAGTTATAAATACAATAAAAAAAACGAGACTTAAGCAAACCAGTCGTAGATCTAGAATATAGATAATTCTATCTAGATTTAGATAATAATGAGTTTCTATATACTAAATTATTTTAGACCTTTATTATTTTGTATAAATCTTTGTTTGGAATATGGTAATTTTGAAATGCTCGCTCCCGGGCCTATTGGTGTAGCTTAAGATTCATACGCGGCTTAGATGCCGGTAATTTTGCTAAATTATAAACGTAAATTCTAAATATAGCTCAGTCGTAGATCTAAAATATAGATAATTTTCTTTCTAGATTTAGATAATAATGATTTTCTATATACTAAACTATTTTAGACCTTTATTATTTTATATAAATCTTTGTTTGGAATATGGTAATTTTGAAATGCTCGCTCCGGGCCTAATGATTAGATTCTAGATCTAGCAAGAAAAACTAAACTTAAGACTTAAGCAAACGAGTCGTAGAATCTAATCTAGATCTAGATAATTCTATCTAGATCTAGATAATTTCAGACCTTCTTTATTTTATATAAATCTTTGTTTGGCTAATTTAAGATAAAATTTAATTTGAAAGTTACTACTACTAGACTTAGATCTAGATCTATGCGCGTAAATCAAGTTGCAAAAGGAGACTTAAAATATAGTATAAAAATTCACTTGTGACGTCACGAGTAAATAGCTAAGTTGGTAGCGTAGTCCGCTCTCATGCGGGCGGCACAGGTTCTAGACCAATATGTCAATGATATTTTTTTTTCAATTTTTTTTCATTCTAGATGTGAATGATAAAGTTGCCTATCTGAACTTGGCAGGATACAGGGCAGGTGAAGTAGAGTTCATCTGTTTCTTTGTCCTAAGCATATGAAAGGATAGTGTGGTCAGAGACATGCTCGGCTGGAATCGTTTTTTAAACGATAAAAACATGTTGTCTGAGACTTGGCGGGACACTGGGCAGGTGAAGTAGAGTTGAGTAGGTCACATGTGACGTCAGTATATGAAGGGATAGTCCGAAATCGGTGTTTTCGGTGTTTTTAAAAGATAAGAAACATATTTTTGAATGTGGGGTCTGTTTTTTGTGACGATAAGTGACACCGCAGTAGCGTAGCGAGGAGGGGGAGGGGGGTGGCGGGAGGGGAGGCGGGGCGGGGGGGGGGGGGGGGAAGGGGAGGCGGGGGGGGGGGACATATGTTGGGGCGCCAAAATGGTTTGGAAAAATAAATTGAAAGGTTGAGGGGGGTTCAAATCGAAAGTTTGAGTGGGGGGGGGGGGGGTGCACATCAAAAGTTTGAGGGGGGGGGGGGTGAAAATCGAAATCTTGGGGGGGGGGGGTTCAAATCGAAAAGTTTGTCCCCGGGCGCCGGGAAGGGTCGCTATGCCTCTGAGTGACAGACGTGATGTTTTTTGATGGATGACCCCCGAAACCCACAGTTATCCAACGGATGACGGGTATTCTAGTAGAATCTAGATCTAGATCTAATATTTTTTATTTGTTAAAGAAGCTTTCTGGACGAGGTTTTGCTCCCAGTATATCAATCCATATGTTTATCTTATGGTTATAATTTATAGGCCTATTACATTAAAATGTGTTTGACTTTATAAATAAATTAATGTTTTAATTTACAGTTTTTAAGTTAATTACAAAAAATTGTTGAAAGAATGTATTTTTATAAATTAATTTAGATTAGTAATGCTCGAGTATCTGGCAATCTATGTCCACAGAGGAACTGAAATAGTGTCGAGCTCTTTAATGCAGAAAATTAGAAAAATGTTGTTGGCAACAATATAAACAATATGGCAGTCTGAATAGGATCTCATTTTTAATAATACCTTTACCTTTTTATTTTGAATTAACTAAGTAAGTAAGAGTAGGTAAGAGAAGAAATAAGTGGAATTACCAACAGCGAGGTATATTTCAAGTATGAATAAGCAACTAGATCTACTTGTGTAGTACTAGATTAGTATGGCCTTATCTGGCCTAATTTAATAATAACACTACTAAAGACTACTACTACTACACTACTAGAGCCCTTTTTTAATTTTAACCTTAACAGCCTTTAACACTTAACACACACTTAACTGAAGTTAACTTAACTTTTAAGTAATTTACTATAGATCTAATACTAAATTAAGTAATAACAAGGCCTACTACACTTATTACTATTATTAACCCATTATTAATAATAATAACTATTAACTACACTGAGAAGTACACTAAAACCTGTTGTTGTAGATTTAAGTTACTTGATTATAATTATAAGTATAGTGTTTAAGTGTAGATTGAAGACTCACTGTCTGTCATAAAACAGTAGTATAGTAGTAGCATGAATAGTTATAGTAGGCCTACTCATGTAGGAAATGTATTTATTGAAAAAATATTCAACATGGGCTAATTGAATTATTTATATAGGTCTAGAAGTTTTAATACTTAAATATTTATGCCTAGGCCTATGTAAGTTGTTTTAATTTTTTTTCCATATTTGTTCCAAATTATGTCTTAGTTGAAGAAAAATGCCTAAAGGGAAAAAAAGAGGGAAAGGAAAGGGTAAGGGAAAAGGAAAAGCAAAAGGAAAGTCCAAAGGGAAAGATCAAAAGACACCATCAGGAGATGGAGAAACGAGGAGGCTCCTGAAAGCTTATGAGAAAAACTGTGTGATGACTAACTCCCAGATGTGTCCTGGGATTAGGAAACTTTTGAGAGCAGCTGCTGAGGAAAATAAACTTGTCACTAAGGTACCTTCCGGATTACAATAAAATTGGGTGTTCAATCAGGGGGGTCAAGGTTACTAGAATATGTTATTTTAGGCTGATGTCATAATAATCTCACATTATTCTATTTACCTTAAGCCTTCTGGTGAGAGTAATTACAGTTATAATTTTCTTCTTTCCTTTGTGGTATTTCTGTGTGCGAAGTTGTTGTTTTGAAGTGTCTGTGGGGGGGGGGGGTGACTTTTTTCACTTAGCTAGGTGCTGTGTTGTTAAAATTAAAACACGCGAATACAACTTTTGTAGTTTAATAGTTGGACTTGAGCATCTTGTATATTTTTGATAGGCATATTCCGTTACCTAAATTTTTGTTTAAAGTTACACTTGTTTGCAAAATTTCAAATTTTATTCTTTTTTTTTTTAGTGAATATGACAAAATCTGATTCATGTTGACATTTTGTGTTAAGTTTATCTTAGAAACAGTGCCCCTAGTAAAAGATGGAGACCTTCCAGTGTTGTTTGAGCCATTGATTGCATCGTTGAGGCAGGAGCGGTATAAACACATTCAAGACATTCATATATGGGATTACCCCATGTCATATGAGAACATTGCATCATTGGTAAGTGCACCTAAATGGGTGGGGCAAGATTGGCTTGTGTGACTTCAATTCTCATGACTTTAAAACGTGTGTAGTATGACTTCAGTGCTCATGACTTTAAAATGTGTGTAGTATGACTTCAGTGCTCATGACTTTAAAATGTGTGTAGTATGACTTTAGTGCTCATGACTTTAAAATGTGTGTAGTATGACTTCAGTGCTCATGACTTAAATTGCATCATCAGGCAGGCTTCCTAGAAAAGTCCTTCCACCCTATGAGGCTAATTGAGCTGCTAGACTGCCTCATTGATGTGGAAACTGTCTCAAGGCTCTCCAGATCCTTCAAGTTTTGTGAATTTCTGACAACTATAGTCTTAGATTACAACGAGCAAGTACAGTCTTGTGATTTCAAATATAATTGTTGTTTTGTAATTATTTCAATTTTTAACCACAAATATTTTTATTAAAACTTGTTGATAATAATCTGAAGTATTAGAATAATGTGACGATTTACACAGGCAATAAATGTTTTCGTTTAAACAAATGAATATACTTTGATTAAATTAAGGATTATTTTCTCTAGATTTGGTGACAACGGATGCCAGAGCTTATGTAATGGTTTGGTGGACAACATCTCAGTTCTTTCCCTTAGTCTTTGCTATTGTGATTTAAATATTCCTAGTGGAAAATACTTAGGAGATATTGTTTCAAAAACAGCAATCAGGTAATTTAACCTTGTATGCTCTCATTAGTATTGTACAGATCAATTAGTGGTTGTTTTTTTTTATCAATGTAAGGATAGAAAACATTATTTTTGTCTTTATAACGAGATGATAAAATGAGATTTAAGTGATATAAATGAATTCTTATAGGTGAGCAGCACCTCTATCAATGTCTTCCTAAATTGTGTTTATTAGTGATTGTATACAAACTCTTGGACCATTTTTTTTTATAAGGCTCATCTCAGCTACACAAGAAATACCACCATCTTTAATTATATCTACACAACACACCATCTATAATTACATCTACACAACACAACACCACCTATAATTACATATACACAAGACACACCACCTATAATTACATCTACAACAACACAATACTACCTATAATTACATCTACACAAGACACACTACTTATAATTACATCTACTAACCACCACCTATAATTATATCTACACAAGACACACCACCTATAATTACATCTACACAACACACTACCTATAATTACATCTACACAAGACACACCACTACCTATAATTACATCTACTAACCACCACCTATAATTACATCTACACAAGACACACCACCTATAATTACATCTACTAACCACCACCTATAATTACATCTACACAAGACACACCACCTATAATTACATCTACACAAGACACTACCTATAATGACATCTACACAAGACACACCACCTATAATTACATCTACACAACACAACACCACCTATAATTACATCTACACAAGACACACCACCTATAATTACATCTACTAACCACCATCTATAATTAGATAAGTTTCTTGTGTTGTGGCAGAGAGCTGTACCTAGACTATAATTAGATATGTTTCTTGTGTTGTGACAGAGAGCTGTACCTAGACTATAATTAGATATGTTTCTTGTGATGTGGCAGAGAGCTGTACCTAGACTATAATTAGATATGTTTCTTGTGTTGTGACAGAGAGCTGTACCTAGACTATAATTAGATATGTTTCTTGTGTTGTGACAGAGAGCTGTACCTAGACTATAATTAGATATGTTTCTTGTGTTGTGACAGAGAGCTGTACCTAGACTATAATTAGATATGTTTCTTGTGTTGTGACAGAGAGCTGTACCTAGACTATAATTAGATATGTTTCTTGTGTTGTGACAGAGAGCTGTACCTAGACTATAATTAGATATGTTTCTTGTGTTGTGGCAGAGAGCTGTACCTAGACTATAATTAGATATGTTTCTTGTGTTGTGGCAGAGAGCTGTACCTAGACTATAATTAGATATGTTTCTTGTGTTGTGACAGAGAGCTGTACCTAGACTATAATTAGATGTTTCTTGTGATGTGGCAGAGAGCTGTACCTAGACTATAATTAGATATGTTTCTTGTGTTGTGACAGAGAGCTGTACCTAGACTATAATTAGATATGTTTCTTGTGTTGTGACAGAGAGCTGTACCTAGACTATAATTAGATATGTTTCTTGTGTTGTGACAGAGAGCTGTACCTAGACTATAATTAGATATGTTTCTTGTGTTGTGACAGAGAGCTGTACCTAGACTATAATTAGATATGTTTCTTGTGTTGTGACAGAGAGCTGTACCTAGACTATAATTAGATGTTTCTTGTGTTGTGACAGAGAGCTGTACCTAGACTATAATTAGATATGTTTCTTGTGTTGTGACAGAGAGCTGTACCTAGACTATAATTAGATATGTTTCTTGTGTTGTGACAGAGAGCTGTACCTAGACTATAATTAGATATGTTTCTTGTGTTGTGACAGAGAGCTGTACCTAGACTATAATTAGATGTTTCTTGTGTTGTGACAGAGAGCTGTACCTAGACTATAATTAGATGTTTCTTGTGTTGTGACAGAGAGCTGTACCTAGACTATAATTAGATATGTTTCTTGTGTTGTGACAGAGAGCTGTACCTAGACTATAATTAGATATGTTTCTTGTGTTGTGGCAGAGAGCTGTACCTAGACTATAATTAGATGTTTCTTGTGTTGTGACAGAGAGCTGTACCTAGACTATAATTAGATATGTTTCTTGTGTTGTGGCAGAGAGCTGTACCTAGACTATAATTAGATGTTTCTTGTGTTGTGACAGAGAGCTGTACCTAGACTATAATTAGATGTTTCTTGTGTTGTGACAGAGAGCTGTACCTAGACTATAATTAGATATGTTTCTTGTGTTGTGACAGAGAGCTGTACCTAGACTATAATTAGATATGTTTCTTGTGTTGTGACAGAAAGCTGTACCTAGACTATAATTAGATATGTTTCTTGTGTTGTGGCAGAGAGCTGTACCTAGACTATAATTAGATATGTTTCTTGTGTTGTGACAGAGAGCTGTACCTAGACTATAATTAGATATGTTTCTTGTGTTGTGACAGAGAGCTGTACCTAGACTATAATTAGATATGTTTCTTGTGTTGTGGCAGAGAGCTGTACCTAGACTATAATTAGATGTTTCTTGTGTTGTGACAGAGAGCTGTACCTAGACTATAATTAGATATGTTTCTTGTGTTGTGACAGAGAGCTGTACCTAGACTATAATTAGATATGTTTCTTGTGTTGTGACAGAGAGCTGTACCTAGACTATAATTAGATATGTTTCTTGTGTTGTGGCAGAGAGCTGTACCTAGACTATAATTAGATATGTTTCTTGTGTTGTGACAGAGAGCTGTACCTAGACTATAATTAGATATGTTTCTTGTGTTGTGACAGAGAGCTGTACCTAGACTATAATTAGATATGTTTCTTGTGTTGTGACAGAGAGCTGTACCTAGACTATAATTAGATATGTTTCTTGTGTTGTGACAGAGAGCTGTACCTAGACTATAATTAGATATGTTTCTTGTGTTGTGACAGAGAGCTGTACCTAGACTATAATTAGATATGTTTCTTGTGTTGTGACAGAGAGCTGTACCTAGACTATAATTAGATATGTTTCTTGTGTTGTGACAGAGAGCTGTACCTAGACTATAATTAGATATGTTTCTTGTGTTGTGACAGAGAGCTGTACCTAGACTATAATTAGATATGTTTCTTGTGTTGTGACAGAGAGCTGTACCTAGACTATAATTAGATATGTTTCTTGTGTTGTGACAGAGAGCTGTACCTAGACTATAATTAGATGTTTCTTGTGTTGTGACAGAGAGCTGTACCTAGACTATAATTAGATGTTTCTTGTGTTGTGACAGAGAGCTGTACCTAGACTATAATTAGTTATGTTTCTTGTGATGTGGCAGAGAGCTGTACCTAGACTATAATTAGATATGTTTCTTGTGTTGTGACAGAGAGCTGTACCTAGACTATAATTAGATATGTTTCTTGTGTTGTGACAGAGAGCTGTACCTAGACTATAATTAGATATGTTTCTTGTGTTGTGACAGAGAGCTGTACCTAGACTATAATTAGATATGTTTCTTGTGTTGTGGCAGAGAGCTGTACCTAGACTATAATTAGATATGTTTCTTGTGTTGTGGCAGAGAGCTGTACCTAGACTATAATTAGATATGTTTCTTGTGTTGTGACAGAGAGCTGTACCTAGACTATAATTAGATGTTTCTTGTGTTGTGACAGAGAGCTGTACCTAGACTATAATTAGATATGTTTCTTGTGTTGTGACAGAGAGCTGTACCTAGACTATAATTAGATATGTTTCTTGTGTTGTGACAGAGAGCTGTACCTAGACTATAATTAGATATGTTTCTTGTGTTGTGGCAGAGAGCTGTACCTAGACTATAATTAGATATGTTTCTTGTGTTGTGACAGAGAGCTGTACCTAGACTATAATTAGATATGTTTCTTGTGTTGTGGCAGAGAGCTGTACCTAGACTATAATTAGATATGTTTCTTGTGTTGTGACAGAGAGCTGTACCTAGACTATAATTAGATATGTTTCTTGTGTTGTGACAGAGAGCTGTACCTAGACTATAATTAGATATGTTTCTTGTGTTGTGACAGAGAGCTGTACCTAGACTATAATTAGATATGTTTCTTGTGTTGTGACAGAGAGCTGTACCTAGACTATAATTAGATATGTTTCTTGTGTTGTGACAGAGAGCTGTACCTAGACTATAATTAGATGTTTCTTGTGTTGTGACAGAGAGCTGTACCTAGACTATAATTAGATATGTTTCTTGTGTTGTGACAGAGAGCTGTACCTAGACTATAATTAGATATGTTTCTTGTGTTGTGACAGAGAGCTGTACCTAGACTATAATTAGATATGTTTCTTGTGTTGTGGCAGAGAGCTGTACCTAGACTATAATTAGATATGTTTCTTGTGTTGTGACAGAGAGCTGTACCTAGACTATAATTAGATATGTTTCTTGTGTTGTGACAGAGAGCTGTACCTAGACTATAATTAGATATGTTTCTTGTGTTGTGACAGAGAGCTGTACCTAGACTATAATTAGATATGTTTCTTGTGTTGTGACAGAGAGCTGTACCTAGACTATAATTAGATATGTTTCTTGTGTTGTGACAGAGAGCTGTACCTAGACTATAATTAGATATGTTTCTTGTGTTGTGACAGAGAGCTGTACCTAGACTATAATTAGATATGTTTCTTGTGTTGTGACAGAGAGCTGTACCTAGACTATAATTAGATATGTTTCTTGTGTTGTGACAGAGAGCTGTACCTAGACTATAATTAGATATGTTTCTTGTGTTGTGACAGAGAGCTGTACCTAGACTATAATTAGATATGTTTCTTGTGTTGTGACAGAGAGCTGTACCTAGACTATAATTAGATATGTTTCTTGTGTTGTGGCAGAGAGCTGTACCTAGACTATAATTAGATATGTTTCTTGTGTTGTGGCAGAGAGCTGTACCTAGACTATAATTAGATATGTTTCTTGTGTTGTGGCAGAGAGCTGTACCTAGACTATAATTAGATATGTTTCTTGTGTTGTGACAGAGAGCTGTACCTAGACTATAATTAGATGTTTCTTGTGTTGTGACAGAGAGCTGTACCTAGACTATAATTAGATATGTTTCTTGTGTTGTGACAGAGAGCTGTACCTAGACTATAATTAGATATGTTTCTTGTGTTGTGACAGAGAGCTGTACCTAGACTATAATTAGATATGTTTCTTGTGTTGTGACAGAGAGCTGTACCTAGACTATAATTAGATATGTTTCTTGTGTTGTGACAGAGAGCTGTACCTAGACTATAATTAGATGTTTCTTGTGTTGTGACAGAGAGCTGTACCTAGACTATAATTAGATATGTTTCTTGTGTTGTGGCAGAGAGCTGTACCTAGACTATAATTAGATATGTTTCTTGTGTTGTGACAGAGAGCTGTACCTAGACTATAATTAGATATGTTTCTTGTGTTGTGACAGAGAGCTGTACCTAGACTATAATTAGATATGTTTCTTGTGTTGTGACAGAGAGCTGTACCTAGACGGCAATGAGCTGGAGTGTGAAGGCGCCATCGACCTGATCAAAATGTGTGTCAGTCAAGCAGAACTAGAGGCCTTTGAGAGGGAGGAGGAGGCCAAGAGAGCAGAGGAGGAGAAGCTGATTGAGAGAGGTGATGTTAGAGAGGTGATGTTAGAGAGGTGATGTTAGAGAGGTGATGTTAGAGAGGTGATGTTAGAGAGGTGATGTACTCACCAGACCAGCATGACACATTAGTTTATTAGATGTTCATGGGTCCACCCACCAATTATGAGTTCAGTATGCCAATGTTAAAGAGCTCTACTTTACCTACCCTCATTTAGGTTTAGCATTTAAACATTCAGCAGCTATTTATTTTTGTGTAAACTTTACAGAGAAAGAAAGTAACAAGGATGACGCTAGTGGTAGAAGTGGTAGTGAAAAAGATTCCAATGGCGAAAAATCAAGAACAGGAAGTGGGAAAAAGAAAAAGAAGAAAGGTTTGTCTTTGTGTCATCAGAAAGGTTTTGTATCCCTATAATGTATCCCTATAATGTATCCCTATAACGTATCCCTATAATGTATCCCTATAATGTATCCCTATAATGTATCCCTATAACGTATCCCTATAATGTATCCCTATAATGTATCCCTATAATGTATCCCTATAATGTATCCCTATAATGTATCCCTGTAATTTATCCCTGTAATGTATCCCTATAATGTATCCCTATAATGTATCCCTATAATGTATCCCTATAATGTATCCCTATAATGTATCATCCACGTTTACTGCAGGTAAAGGTAAGAGGAAGAAGAAAAAGAAAGCCCCACCTGCCCCACCCCCTGTTGGCCCCTGGCTCCACAAATTACATTTAGCAGACAACGGAATAGACAGCTACGGAAATGATGGCACATTTGCCCCAATTATTTGTATGAGGTTGTTTAAAAAGTGAGTTAAATATTTTGTTTCTGCTGTTTTATGCTGGTCTTAATTTTTCTAAACTTTACAGTTATACTCTCCAACCATCCAGACTTGTAGTACTCTTATTTTTCTAAACTTTACTGGTGTACTCTCCAGACTTTTGATGAATTCCAAGTGTTTTGTGGAGCTTGACCTAGAAGATAACTCTATCGGAGAAATGGGAGGACGAGAGATCCTAGATGGCCTTACAGCTCGAAAAGAAGGTGATCAGACGTTATCTTCTCTTGCCCGTTTTGTTTTTTAAATTGGATAAAATATTTTCACTTACCTGTTTTGTTTTTTAAATTGGATAAAGTATTTTCACCTACCTGTTTTGTTTTTTAAATTGAATAAAATATTTTCACTTACCTGTTTAGTGTTTTAAATTGGATAAAATATTTTCACTTGCTTGTACAATCACATTTTATTTAGTTGTTTTTAAAAATTGTACTAAAACTAACTTTAAGCAGATCAAAGGTTTAATCTTTGTCTTCTACTTCTGGCTGCAGACATTAGCTTATAAAATGGTATTGTATGAGTCTGTGACAGTTAAATGTTGTGGAATATTTATCTTTTTATGTTTTGATTTACAAAGATAATTAAAGGAAAGATGAAGGTGTAGCTGTCAATATCTTTAGCTCTACCTGGCTGTAGAACACAGATCTGACATGGGATAAAATGGCATTTTAAAATGTTGACACAATATTTTTCCAAACAATTTCTGTCAGTCAAAGTTATTTGTTTTTTATTTTTCTGACAGCCAAGTTGGGCGGATGCAAGGTCAGAACCACCCACAAAATGACGTCTGCTACATTCAACGCCATTGTCAAACAAGGAGCAGGTTTAAAGAAAAAAGGAAAGAGAAAAGGGAAGAAGAAAGGAAAAAAGGTGTGAACAGTATCTGTGATTTTGTTTTACTTCTTCACGTGTTTGGAACATAATCAATAGAAGATGGCAAATTGGTAGTTTTAAATAAAAAGTTGTTAGTTTATAAATGTTTAAAATTTTTATAAATTTTCAGCTCTAAATTTTCAGTTTTTCAAATAAAAGTAATCGTACCTAAATTTGTACATAAAGTTGTGTCCCCTTAATTTCCACAGAAAAAGAAATGAAGCTCAAAAAGACTTAAGCTCCCCCTGTGATTGCCTGTAGTAATACAGTCAGCCAAAAGTTGTTGGTAGTTAAAAAATTTAACAAGATCCAAAATCTCATTTGTTTATTTATTTCTTCATGTAATTAAAAGTATTTTTTTGTGTTCTCTGATGTGTTTTATAATAATAAGTGTACCAATTATTGTATAATTTTAGACTGTGATATTTGTGTATTTTTAAAACTGAATTTTACATTAAAAATTATCTACTCTGCATTTATAGTTGGTTAACTGTTTTATTTCTAAAAATCAAACTGCTGAAACTGTTATAACAATAAGGTTCAAATTTATTTTTCGTTTAACTTACATGTTCAAAGAAAAGTTGACTTTTCGTGGAACATTAAAAAAAGTGCAAATTTTAATTTTATGATTTTGTTTTCTTTTTATTACTTTTTTGACATTATTTTTAGATTACTTTGGAATTTTAAAAAATCTATTTATAAACTTGTAGAGCTGACACAATGTATGACTGCACATTTCAACTGTTATAGCAAAATCCACAGCGTGTGATTTTAAAATCAACATAGAAGTTTTCACATTTATTTTAATATACTTCACTGTACAGTGCATAACCAAAATATATATCTATATACGTATTTACAAGAATATACTTATATACACAGTTCATTATCAAACCTGATTGGTAATTGTAAGTAATAGTGACATTATTTTATTAAAACACTGTTTCTGGTTACAAGTAAAATAACATGAAATACTTTAGGTAACAAGAAATAAACATAAAACAGATTTTGGCAACAACAAAAAAAACTTGAAAAATGTTTTGGCAACAAGTCAATTAAACATCAAATTATGTTTAGCAAAAAAAAAAAAAAAAAAACAATAAACTAATAATTTTTTTCTCTACACCTCAGGGTTACAAAATAATGTCAGCAGGTTTTTGCTGCTTAATTTCTAATAATACTGGTTGTTGGATAAAGGCTAAGATATTCAGCTCTCCTAGTGAGTAAAACATTTTAACCCTTCACTCGCCATACAAGAACACAGCTAAAATATTTTAACCCTTCACTGGCCATACAAGAACACAGCTAAAGCTTCAGGTTTCATTTCTTTAAACTGTGTGAGGCAGGTGGGCGTGCATGCTCGGAACAAAAATGGCATGTTTTTGACAGTGAACAGTCTGGGCACTGGGCAGATGGTTCTCAAACCTGGACCAAACAGGGGACCCCTGCAGCAGTCACACTCTTCAACCCTGGCACAAGATCAACACAAAATATTTTTTAGATTTGTCCTGTAAACATTTCATTAAAAGAGAATCATAAATCTATGGAGGAGAGGGAATTATAACATTACAGAAAAGAAAAAATCTAAGTTAAGAGAAAAGAGAAAATGTTTATAAAAGAATGTATGGACTTATATATGATATATATATATATATATATATATATATATATATATATATATATATATATATATATATATATATATATATATATATATATATATATATATATATATATATATATATATATATATATATATATATATATATATCATACTTACTTATAATGTTATATAGGGCATATATTCAAAATACTATCTACTATTAAATCTCATCACTTATATAAAAAACTGTTACATTTGAGACCAACCTGCTAAGTGCTTTGATGACATCATCTGTAAACAAATAGTGCATGCTGGGATCTGACATTTTGTAAACTTGAACGCAAGAGAGGTCCAGAAGATTCTAGAACAGATTTAACACATTTTATTACATCCCAAATTCAGAATGTTTTGGAACATAATAAATTTTAGCAGTGGCAAGATAACAACGACCTCTAGAAAGTTCAAGTTTTTAATCTCCCTTGTAACTTTGATACAAAGGGTATTTACATAATTTTAATGTGGTAAGCTTAAATTTGGCTTAAAATGATGTTGGTAGAGGTATGGTAAAGTTACAATGTAACCTGATAAATAAGTGTTAACATTATAATTGGGATTTTCAGTTATACAAATTAACTATTGCTAGTAAGAAATAAAATAAGATTGTTAGTGGATTGTGTTAATGGATTATGTTAATCAACAATAAATTAGAAAGGGTAACTGGCTACCTGTGGTATTTAGTTACCTATGTTACTAGTGGTATTTAGTTACCTGTGGTATTTAGTTACCTGTGGTATTTAGTTACCTGTGGTATTTCGTTACCCATGGTATTTAGTTACCTGTGGTATTTAGTTACCTGTTGTATTTAGTTACCTGTGGTATTTATTTACCTGTGGTATTTAGTTACCTGTGGTATTTAGTTACCTGTGGTATTTAGTTACCTGTGGTATTTAGTTACCTGTGGTATTTCGTTACCCATGGTATTTAGTTACCTGTGGTATTTAGTTACCTGTTGTATTTAGTTACCTGTGGTATTTATTTACCTGTGGTATTTAGTTACCTGTGGTATTTAGTTACCTGTGGTATTTAGTTACCTGTGGTATTTAGTTACCTGTGGTATTTAGTTACCTGTGGTATTTAGTTACCTGTGGTATTTAGTTACCTGTGGTATTTCGTTACCCGTGGTATTTAGTTACCTGTGGTATTTAGTTACCTGTTGTATTTAGTTACCTGTGGTATTTATTTACCTGTGGTATTTAGTTACCTGTGGTATTTAGTTACCTGTGGTATTTAGTTACCTGTGGTATTTAGTTACCTGTGGTATTTAGTTACCTGTGGTATTTAGTTACCTGTGGTATTTAGTTACCTGTGGTATTTATTTACCTGTGGTATTTAGTTACCTGTGGTATTTCGTTACCCGTGGTATTTAGTTACCTGTGGTATTTAGTTACCTGTTGTATTTAGTTACCTGTGGTATTTATTTACCTGTGGTATTTAGTTACCTGTGGTATTTAGTTACCTGTGGTATTTAGTTACCTGTGGTATTTAGTTACCTGTTGTATTTAGTTACCTGTGGTATTTAGTTACCTGTGGTATTTAGTTACCTGTGGTATTTAGTTACCTGTGGTATTTAGTTACCTGTGGTATTTAGTTACCTGTGGTATTTAGTTACCTGTGGTATTTAGTTACCTGTGGTATTTAGTTACCTGTGGTATTTAGTTACCTGTGGTATTTAGTTACCTGTTGTATTTAGTTACCTGTGGTATTTATTTACCTGTGGTATTTAGTTACCTGTGGTATTTAGTTACCTGTGGTATTTAGTTACCCGTGGTATTTATTTACCTGTGGTTTATTTTTAGTGTTCTCCCTCCAGAAGAGGGGATGCATGAAATTGTTCCGGACATTGACATGTGCCAGGTTGGCCATGAAGAGACAAGAGGCTGGCAGCGCTGGGAGCTGGTTGCCCTCTAGGTCCAGCACTTTCAGGGACCTGAGTACAAACAGGTTAATGAGTACAGTAAACAGGTTAATGAGATGTCAGTGACCTGAGTACAGTAAACAGGTTAATGAGATGTCAGTGACCTGAGTACAGTAAACAGGTTAATGAGATGTCAGTGACCTGAGTACAGTAAACAGGTTAATGAGATGTCAGTGACCTGAGTACAGTAAACAGGTTAATGAGATGTCAGTGACCTGAGTACAGTAAACAGGTTAATGAGAACTTTCAGGGACCTGAGTACAAACAGGTTAATGAGATGTCAGTGACCTGAGTACAGTAAACAGGTTAATGAGAACTTTTAGGGACCTGAGTACAGTAAACAGGTTAATGAGAACTTTCAGGGACCTGAGTACAGTAAACAGGTTAATGAGATGTCAGTGACCTGAGTACAGTAAACAGGTTAATGAGAACTTTCAGGGACCTGAGTACAAACAGGTTAATGAGTACAGTAAACAGGTTAATGAGAACTTTCAGGGACCTGAGTACAGTAAACAGGTTAATGAGAACTTTCAGGGACCTGAGTACAAACAGGTTAATGAGTACAGTAAACAGGTTAATGAGAACTTTCAGGGACCTGAGTACAGTAAACAGGTTAATGAGATGTCAGTGACCTGAGTACAGTAAACAGGTTAATGAGAACTTTCAGGGACCTGAGTACAAACAGGTTAATGAGTACAGTAAACAGGTTAATGAGAACTTTCAGGGACCTGAGTACAGTAAACAGGTTAATGAGAACTTTCAGGGACCTGAGTACAAACAGGTTAATGAGTACAGTAAACAGGTTAATGAGAACTTTCAGGGACCTGAGTACAAACAGGTTAATGAGAAGAGTAAACAGGTTAATGAGAACTTTCAGGGACCTGAGTACAGTAAACAGGTTAATGAGTACAGTAAACAGGTTAATGAGAACTTTCAGGGACCTGAGTACAAACAGGTTAATGAGAACAGTAAACAGGTTAATGAGATGTCAGTGACCTGAGTACAGTAAACAGGTTAACGAGAACAGTAAACAGGTTAATGAGCACTTTCAGGGACCTGAGTACAGTAAACAGGTTAACGAGAACAGTAAACAGGTTAATGAGCACTTTCAGGGACCTGAGTACAGTAAACAGGTTAATGAGAACTTACAGGGACCTGAGTACAGTAAACAGGTTAATGAGATGTCAGTGACCTGAGTACAAACAGGTTAATGAGTACAGTAAACAGGTTAGTGAGAACTTTCAGGGACCTGAGTACAAACAGGTTAACGAGATGTCAGTGACCTGAGTACAGTAAACAGGTTAATGAGAACTTTCAGGGACCTGAGTACAAACAGGTTAATGAGATGTCAGTGACCTGAGTACAGTAAACAGGTTAATGAGAACTTTCAGGGACCTGAGTACAGTAAACAGGTTAATGAGAACTTTCAGGGACCTGAGTACAAACAGGTTAATGAGTACAGTAAACAGGTTAATGAGAACTTTCAGGGACCTGAGTACAAACAGGTTAACGAGATGTCAGTGACCTGAGTACAGTAAACAGGTTAATGAGCACTTTTAGGGACCTGAGTACAGTAAACAGGTTAATGAGAACTTTCAGGGACCTGAGTACAAACAGGTTAACGAGATGTCAGTGACCTGAGTACAGTAAACAGGTTAATGAGCACTTTTAGGGACCTGAGTACAGTAAACAGGTTAATGAGAACTTTCAGGGACCTGAGTACAAACAGGTTAACGAGATGTCAGTGACCTGAGTACAGTAAACAGGTTAATGAGCACTTTTAGGGACCTGAGTACAGTAAACAGGTTAATGAGAACTTTCAGGGACCTGAGTACAGTAAATAAGCTAATGAGAACAGTAAACAGGTTAACGAGATGTCCACCATAAATGATTAAAAGAATATGAAATCATAATAAACTGTAATAATATGAAAAAAGAACTGACTGTAATGTCGCGACCTCTGAGGGCAGAAAGGTCAGCCTATTGTAGGAGAGGCTCAGGTCATCCAGGTGAGGTAAGGTGAACAACCTGGGGATGAGAGGACAAATGTTTAAACAACCTGGGCATGAGAGGACAAATTTGGATCATCTATTCCTTCATCAATAAATACACAAATTTATTTTATGATTTAATGAAACATCAAGAAATGACTGCAGTTTATTATTGTATTTTGTATTTTATCATTATAAAATAAATTTGAACACAAATGTAGCCTATGCGAATTCGACGCTATAAGTTTTGTCTGTGATGTGTAGGTTTTATTTCAACTTACGTGGAGGGAAGCGCAGAAATAAGACAAAATGAAGCGATTAGAACTCTAAGTTTTTGCAGCTTGATAATCTCCCCTGGTATTTCAATGAGTGGGTTATTTCTCAACTTGAGAACCTCCAAGTTCGGAAGGTCTAACACTTCAATGGGAAACACCTGGGGGAATCAGGCTTTATCATTTACAATATTTTAAAACAATTTTATCTTATTTTATAATGTAAACTTAGCATTTTTTCTAAAATTGTATAAATATAAAAGCATCTCTAATTATATAAAAAAAACTAGATCTATATACCATTGATAACTCAAACACAATGTTTACCTTAAAATTGTTAAAACTTAGGTTAACATACGTTAACGTTTGTGCCAGTGGAGAGATGTCAGGTAAGTCGTCAATGAAGTGAGCCTGTAGTGATAGAACGTAACAAGTAACGTACAAGCAGCACAATGTACTGTCTACTAGAGGGTAAAGGTTCGATTCTCACTGAAAGCATCTTTTTGTAACTATTGACTAATATCTTGATCTTAAATATTAAATGTTGTATAAAGCTTACTATAAAAGTTTTTTTTTTTAATTCCATACTTTATTTTTATTATTAAAATTTGGGTTACTGATTAAAACTATTTCATGCTTCAACCTACTTTCATGCTTCAACCTACTTTCATGCTTCAACCTACTTTCATGCTTCAACCTACTTTCATGCTTCAACCTACTTTCATGCTTCAACCTACTTTCATGCTTCAACCTACTTTCATGCTTTAACCTACTTTCATGCTTCAACCTACTTTCATGCTTCATCCTACTTTCATGCTTCAACCTACTTTCATGCTTCAACCTACTTTCATGCTTCAACCTACTTTCATGCTTCAACCTACTTTCATGCTTTAACCTACATTCATGCTTCAACCTACTTTCATGCTTCATCCTACTTTCATGCTTCAACCTACTTTCATGCTTCAACCTACTTTCATGCTTCAACCTACTTTCATGCTTCAACCTACTTTCATGCTTCATCCTACTTTCATGCTTCAACCTACTTTCATGCTTCAACCTACTTTCATGCTTCAACCTACTTTCATGCTTCAACCTACTTTCATGCTTCAACCTACTTTCATGCTTCAACCTACTTTTATGCTTCAACCTACTTTCATGCTTCAACCTACTTTCATGCTTCAACCTACTTCCATGCTTCAACCTACTTTCATGCTTCAACCTACTTTCATGCTTCAACCTACTTTCATGCTTCAACCTACTTTCATGCTTCAACCTACTTTCATGCTTTAACCTACTTTCATGCTTCAACCTACTTTCATGCTTCATCCTACTTTCATGCTTCAACCTACTTTCACGCTTCAACCTACTTTCATGCTTCAACCTACTTTCATGCTTCAACCTACTTTCATGCTTCATCCTACTTTCATGCTTCAACCTACTTTCATGCTTCAACCTACTTTCATGCTTCAACCTACTTTCATGCTTCAACCTACTTTCATGCTTCAACCTACTTTCATGCTTCAACCTACTTTTATGCTTCAACCTACTTTCATGCTTCAACCTACTTTCATGCTTCAACCTACTTCCATGCTTCAACCTACTTTCATGCTTCAACCTACTTTCATGCTTCAACCTACTTTTATGCTTCAACCTACTTTCATGCTTCAACCTACTTTCATGCTTCAACCTACTTTCATGCTTCAACCTACTTTCATGCTTAGAGCCGTCCCCCCAGCTATAAGAGTGTCCAGTATGGCTAGCTCTGAGGGTGTAATGGTCTCATCCTCAGGGGCAGCTGCAAATATATTGTTTATCACAGGTGACGTATGATACAATATAAGATACATGATATAATATAAGATACATGATACAATATAAGATACACAAAAATATAAGATATGATACTATTTAAGATGTGATATAATATAAGATATAGAGATAGTAATCACCGTAATGAAAGTAACTAGCTAATTAGCTAAGTATGTTGGTATCTAATTATAAAATAGGCCTACACATAAACAGATTGAATGATTTGATTAAAATCATGCAGATTAAAATTTGTGTTTTGTCTGCATGAATTAAGTCAATTAGTGCTACAGGAGCCATTTGATTACTAGCTAAGTTGACTAGTGTAGGCTTATAAGCTGTGTTAATCCCTGAGCTAATAAACTGGATTAAGCTCTCAGGTAATGAGCTGGATTAAGCTCTCAGGTAATGAGCTGGATTAAGCTCTCAGGTAATGATCTGGATTAAGCTCTCAGGTAATAAGCTGGATTAAGCTCTTACCAAAAGGTGACCTGCTCCTCTCTGACCCTTGAAAAACACGTGAATGAGCAGAATAAACAACGGCGTCCACCCCAGGGGTTTCTGTGTCTCTGGAGAAAATATTCAGTGAAATATATAAGTACCCTTTCAATCCTTACCGCCCATGGGACAGGTGAAGTAGAGTTGACCTATTTCAGTGAAGGGATAGAATAGTGTGGTTAGCACTATTCCCAGCCACCTTTACTTTCCCTAACGTGGTCAGTACAATGTCCAGCCACCTTTACTTTCCCTAACGTGGTCAGTACAATGTCCAGCCACCTTTACTTTCCCTAACGTGGTCAGCACTATTCCCAGCCACCTTTACTTTCCCTAACGTGGTCAGTACAATGTCCAGCCACCTTTACTTTCCCTAACGTGGTCAGTACAATGTCCAGCCACCTTTACTTTCCCTAACGTGGTCAGTACAATGTCCAGCCACCTTTACTTTCCCTAACATGGTCAGCACAATGTCCAGCCACCTTTACTTTCCCTAACGTGGTCAGTACAATGTCCAGCCACCTTTACTTTCCCTAACGTGGTCAGTACAATGTCCAGCCACCTTTACTTTCCCTAACGTGGTCAGCACTATTCCCAGCCACCTTTACTTTCCCTAACGTGGTCAGTACAATGTCCAGCCACCTTTACTTTCCCTAACGTGGTCAGTACAATGTCCAGCCACCTTTACTTTCCCTAACATGGTCAGCACAATGTCCAGCCACCTTTACTTTCCCTAACGTGGTCAGTACAATGTCCAGCCACCTTTACTTTCCCTAACGTGGTCAGTACAATGTCCAGCCACCTTTACTTTCCCTAACGTGCGTGACATACTCATTAGTGCTGGGTGGAGTCAATGATGTCCTACAGAATCAAACCCAGAATTCACTTTTTTGGGCTAGCAGTCAAATGCTCTACTTCACACATCCCCCCACACCTACACACACACTCCCCACATCCCCACACCTACACACACACTCCCCACATCCCCACACCTACACACACACTCCCCATACCTACACACTGTCCCACACACACTCCCCACATCCCCACACCTACACACACACTCCACACATCCCCACACCTACACACACACACTCCCCACACACACTCCGCACATCCCCCACACACGATCTCTACATCCCCCACACACACTCCCCACATCCCCACACCTACACACACACTCCCCACACCTACACACACACTCCCCACACACACTCCGCACATCCCCCACACACAATCTCTACATCCCCCACACACACTCAACACATCCCCACACCTACACACACACACTCCCCACACACACTCCGCACATCCCCCACACACACTCCACACATCCCCACACCTACACACACACACTCCCCACACACACTCCGCACATCCCCCACACACACTCCACACATCCCCACACCTACACACACACACTCCCCACACCCCCCACACACAATCCCCACACACACACTCCCCCACATACCACACACACACTCCCCACACCCCCCACACACAATCCCCACACACACTCCCCACATCCCCCACACATACTCTCACAAACCCCACACACACTCCCTCACACACCCCACACACACTCCCCACACACTACTACTGACTGTTTGATCCGCACTGCTGTACTGGTCCGGCTCTTCTTGTCGTCCTCGTACAGTATGATCTCTGTATGTGGCCTGGATGTGCCCGTACGGTCGGGGCTGTACTTGGGCATTGGCCGTATGACTGACTTCACATCCGTGCCTATCACGTCCCTCACGTGTTCTTTAATCAGCGCAGCCATTTCATACAGCAGTTGTTTTTGGGGGATCCTGTTTTCTTTCATGGGGATTTCTGAGGCTACAGAAAAAAATGATTTTTTTACAAGAACAAAAAATTATTTTATGTGTTCTTATCGCAAAAAAAATCTTTCTAAATGATTTAGCAAGAGCCTAATCCTTGCTTATGTTTGAACTAGAATAAAAGGCATATCAAATATCATTTTGCTTTTTGCTTTTTTTTTTATTTTTTAGTGCTCTGACTTTCCTCTTGGTCTGATTTGGTGAAGACCTCATGGTAAATATTTTTGTTCCTGCAACTCATCACACTTTAATTATTTTTTGGCAAAATAGATATGTATCATGGAAGAAAATATCACAAGCACACAGTCGAGGTGGTGATAGATTTAAAATGGAACAAATCACTCACCATCAAAGTTGATTGTATGAAGACTGTCTTGTGTCTTGGGATTCAGCACCTGCGCCAACATGTCTGTTAACTTTTTTACATTGTGCTTGGAGTAGACAATTTTCCTCACCCTCGGAACTGATAAGTTTTTCATCTCCGCCATTTTGTAGATAAAATGTTCCAGGGTAAAAGCTGGTGGCTCAAAGAATCTTTGGTCGTCAACGTCGTAATTGATGAGCACCCCTACATTCCTCCTGGCAGCACGGCGGGGCAGAGGGTCAGGGCCCCTATACTTTAGAGGCTTCACGAGACTTTTGCCATCAATGTACGTCCCTAAGCTAGTTTTTCCTCTCAATAGTGGGTCTAAAACATATTTCATGTCCTCGTTTGTGATCAGCAATCTGTTGTTGCCAAAAGATTTGTGCCAGGTATTTTTTTGAATTATATTATAATTGACCTGTGCCAGTTTGTGGTTGTTGGCCTCATATTCTGAAGGAGGGGGTGGGGAGGCCAAACTTGGGGCTCTACTTCTTGCGGAAATTATTTCGGGTTCAACAACAATTCCTCGCAGAGCTTCCAGGTCAAATGTGTTCTGGAACATGGCAATCACTGAGCCTAATTCATTTTCTTTCTTCTCTGGTTCTGATTGGTCGTCTGCTGAGAGGGGAGGGAGAAGCTTTGGCGCTCTTGGTCTTCGCAATAGTGCACCAGGGTTTGACACTTTTTTGTTTGTTGATAGACCAGGAATGATACAAATCTGCTGAGGTGACAAAATTAAGCTGTTTACAGCGCAGCCAACCATGTCTACATAGACACAGCCAACCATGTCCACACCACATAGACACAACCATGTCCACAAAGACACAACCAACATTGTCCACATAGACACAACCAACCATGTCCACATAGACACAACCATGTCTACATAGACACAACCAACCATGTCCACACCACATAGACACAACCAACCATGTCCACAAAGACACAACCAACATTGTCCACATAGACACAACCAACCATGTCCACATAGACACAACCATGTCTACATAGACACAGCCAACCATGTCCACACCACATAGACACAACCAACCATGTCCACAAAGACACAACCAACATTGTCCACATAGACACAACCAACCATGTCCACATAGACACAACCAACCATGTCCACACCACATAGACACAGCTAACCATGTCCACATAGACCAACCATGTCTACATAGACACAACCAACCATGTCCACATAGACCAACCATGTCTACATAGACACAGCCAACCATGTCTACATAGACACAGCCAACCAGTTGATGATAAAGCTAAATAAAGCTGGTAAAATACTAGACTACTAACTAAAGCAACTAATACACTATACTATTACTAATTCTATACTATATATATATATATATATATATATATATATATATATATATATATATATATATATATATATATATATATACATATATATATATATATATATATTATAAATCAGATCCAGATTTCTGGAATCTAGATCTAGAATTCTAGATCAAGAAAAATCTTATATTCAATATATAGTCTACTTATTTTTTTCTACTAATTCTATAAAATTTATAGTATGCCTATAGAGTAGTATGTATAATATAAATAGGCTTATGATTTATCTAGTCTTATCTGACTCTCTCTAGAATACTCTAGATCTACTTACTATTAATTATTAATTATGTTTATTAATAACTCTATTATTTAGAGCTACTATTATTTAACTTTAACTATCTCAGTATTAGTAAAGTATCTAATATACTATAGAATAAATACTATAGATTATAGTAGGGTTGTCGGCATCCGCCGAGTTCGCGGTAAAAACATGACCCGAAATCGCCCATTACTTTCTGATACCGGACCCACGAGATTTGGTTTTGCATACTAATAAGTTTTTAATTTATGGTAATTAATTAAGTTTAAAAGGTCATTTCCTAAGGTTAATTAAAAAGAAGAGTGGTTATCCCTTAGTTTTAATGGCTTTGCGACCTGATTGCATGCTGTCTCTGCTTTGGTCTTCCCTCTGTATCAAGGTTAGTTTCAAATACGTTGGAATCTCGATTTTTTAAAAGATTCCTCTAGATGAGAGTAGATTACTGATCAGACATATCTTAAGTAATTGGAAATGAAATTTGTTTTTGGATATTTTGACTCCGACATTAGTTATACCCCTCCGAACGTAGTCACTGTATGTAGGTCACGCTGCCACCATTGTTATATTTTTTCATCCCGATCTTCCTGCCTTTAAGTTTGATCAACTAATAACAGCATTCTTATGGCATGTGCAAACAAATCTAATTTTTTATTTCAAAATATATTTACATACCCATCTTTAATTTTTTCAGCTCTAGTTCTAGTTTTGCAGAATATGTTTTTCCTAAAAATCCAATTTTGTCAGACTAGACTCTAGACTGACAAGAGTCAGACCTAGATCTAGGTTACCTGTCTGTTGCTATACACTAGCATTGTGCTAACTGTAATTTTAAGTATTCAAGTTCTACTTACCCTTAGATATAGTTATATGCTGAAAATCAGAATCCATACACAATTCACACATAAAAACATTGATCTGATACTTCATTTCACTTATTACAAAATGGCTTTTATATGGACTCTACTTCACCTGCCCAAAATAACAAGGCAGTTATAGACACATTACAGTGTTCAAGTCATTTACTGTAGATTTCTGACTATGGAGTTCTTTCATTCACTGTATTTATTTAAAATATTGCTTTAGAAACATTTTCATATTTGCGCAGCCGTTTTATAACAAAATGGCTTAAAGATGGACTCTACTTCACCTGCCCAAAATAATGAGGCAATTATATGCACATAACAGTGTTCAAGTCATTTACTTTAGATTTCTAACTTTGTAGTTCTTTCATTTGCTGTATTTATATAAAATATGGCTTTAGAAACATTTTCATATTTGCGCAGCACACAGTTTTTTGGGGTTATGGGAGGAAGCCAACACAAAAATATAAGTTCTGTATTATTTTTATTAATTTCAACAGCATTTACAAGTTCTATATATCATTCTAGTTAAACTCTGCAAATATGAACAAAATACAACTGCAAGTAAAATAACTATGCTCAATTTATTCAGGTATACCATGACTTGTCACAATTGGCCAATGCTAAAGCAAGGGGATTCCACCCCTCACAAAAAAATTCGCAAAAAAAAAACCATTTGAGCTAGACAAAAAATCTTTTTTGTTTTGTTTTCATTTTGTTGAGCTCTACAAGAATATGTAATTTTTATTTTTATATGATGATTAGTGTTTTTTTACCTAAATCCCTAATTATAGATCTAGTATCTAACGCTAACGTATTATTTTATTATTAATATTATTATTATTAGTAGTAGTAGTAGTAGTAGTAGTAGTAGTAGTAGTAGTAGTAGTAGTAGTAGTAGTAGTAGTAGTAGTATAATGACAATAATTACAGTAATTAGGCCTATTTTAATGATAATTTCTCATATTTTTATTATTTATTTAATTATTTGAATTCGACTCAGACTACCGATCACTCGGATCTATTAAAATGAATTATTTTAATAACACCGCTTGGTTTTGGAAACTACCTAAATTTGATTACTTTGTAGATCTACATCTAGATCTAGTAATCATAATCAACAACTTTTAATTTGTAACACTAAATTTTCGGAGGTATTATAAAAATAAACTTACATGATCAGCCATGGTCCCTAGACCAGGCGCCATTTTGGTTGTTAGGCAACAATAATTATCTGTTTCTGTAAGGGAGGTAACAATGCTTTATGCAAATAATTTTAGTTACATACCTTGTATTAGAAAATACGAAGATCAACTCAGACATTTCGGCATTTTTAAAAAAATATACAATAACTATGAAACTATGATTTTACCCTCTACCCCTCTTATTTACAATGAAATGTCTTTAAAAATTGCAAAATTATTTTTGACATACTGCTTTAAAAATGTATTTTTAAAATGCAAAAGAATGAGGCACACTTGCATCGCCTCCTCAACCCCCCTCATACAAATAGTTTTTTTGTTGTTTTTTCTTTTGCATGTGTAGACTGCAGCTTATAAATGTTGGCCAATATGTCACTAATGTTTTCAAAGACTTTCAACTAGGTTATAATCGTACAATGAAGCTTATTCAGACCCCCCCCCCCTCCCAATGAGACGATCATGGCTACGCCACTGATGGAGCTTATTCATACCCCCCCCTCCCCAAATAATTATCTGTAATCTTATAGTTGCTCTTATTTTAAAACGACATTTATAAAGTGAGCCGAAAGTTCAAACAAAAACAATTTTAAAAAACAACACTGGCACAAAGCGAACATGTGATTTACACAAAGAAGTTCGACAACTGAATAAGTAATGGTAAATATATTTTTAATGACGTTTCATGTAAATGTTGAATATGAGTACAATAATGGGGAAATAATAATTTAAGTACGATAAAATGCGTTCAACAATTAATTTATATAAAGGTTGTTTTGTTGCGAAATTTGTTATAGGTGGGTTTGTTGTAAAACTAGTTGGTTGGTGAGTTTGTTAAATGACTTGTTGTAAGTGGTTTTGCTTGGACTGTTAAAAAAGACTTTCATGCAACAAAAAGAAAACGAAAATATGTTGATAGAAGTTTAAATAAGTTAATAAATAGGACAGACAGGTATGAACTCTGAAAGATAAGGTTAAACGATCGATATAAAATCAATCATCAGTGTCGAATGTCCACGTCACTAACTTTCAAACAATATCCTGTTATTGTAGTAGGGCACACAGCGTAGGCCAAGACACGCGGGCCATAAAACACATATTCTGATTATAGAGGTCGCTGAGGTCAAGGTCAATTGAGAAGCCTCCATTCATAATTTTACACCGTCTATGTCAGTGGTTCTCCCATTGAAACTTTGATGATCCACAAAGCCCATTGAAACTTTGATGATTCACAAAGCCCATTGAAACTTTGATGATTCACAAAGCCCATTGAAACTTAGATGATTCACAAAGCCCATTGAAACTTTGATGATTCACAAAGCCCATTGAAACTTTGATGATTCACAAAGCCCATTGAAACTTTGATGATTCACAAAGCCCATTGAAACTTTGATGATTCACAAAGCCCATTGAAACTCTGATGATTCACAAAGCCCATTGAAACTTTGATGATTCACAAAGCCCATTGAAACTTTGATGACCCACAAAGCCCATTGAAACTTTGATGATCCACAAAGCCCAGGACTTGAACCCTTTCTGTTCCGTCTCTACCGTCTTCAACTCTTGTAGCTGATCTACTCAAACAAGGGTCAAACGACCAAGGTCACGTGGTACAAGGGTCAAACGACCAAAATCACGTGACATTGTGCCAAGGCAAGAAGTGGTAAGTCATTTGGAGTGAATAAATATCGTTCCTAATTGGATTAGTTTGCTGAGGTATCCAATCAAATGTGAGAACACAAATTTGATCATGTAAACAAAGTCACACAACTCTTACACCAACGTTCTGAAGTCAGACAACGGTCAGAACTTTGTAAAATAGCCCAGGACAGATTTACACAATGTCTTGTTTTTCGCCTGGTATTTTGTCTAGTTTTTCCTGGTAGATTGTCTAGCTGGCGTCGTTATGTTGGTGAGGGGAGGGGGGGGAGGCTTGATATGGTGCGTCTGCAGAGGTCTGTAGAATTGCAGACGTTTTGGAAATTTAAATGTTCGGAATGAGCGACGTGCTTTCAGATTGTGTGAAGACTTCGTTTGGTGGGATTGTTGTTTCAGATGGCTGAATGACGTCATAAGGTGGCATTGTTGTTTCAGATTGCTGAATGACATCATAAGGTGGGATTGTTGTTTCAGATTGTTGAATGACGTCATAAGGTAGGATTGATGTTTCAGATTGTTGAATGACGTCATAATGTGGGATTGTTGTTTCAGATTGTTGAATGACGTCATAAGGTGGGATTGTTGTTTCAGATTGTTGTATGACGTCATAAGGTGGGATTGTTGTTTCAGATTGTTGAATGACGTCATAAGGTGGGATTGTTGTTTCAGATTGTTGAATGACGTCATAAGGTGGGATTGTTGTTTCAGATGGTTGAATGACGTCATAAGGTGGGATTGATGTTTCAGAATGTTGAATAACGTCATAATGTGGGATTGATGTTTCAGATTGTTGAATGACGTCATAAGGTGGGATTGATGTTTCAGATTGTTGAATGACGTCATAAGGTGGGATTGATGTTTCAGATTGTTGAATGACGTCATAAGATGGGATTGTTGTTTCAGATTGTTGTATGACGTCATAAGGTGGGATTGTTGTTTCAGATCGTTGAATGACGTCATAAGGTGGGATTGTTGTTTCAGATGGTTGAATGACGTCATAAGGTGAGATTGATGTTTCAGATTGTTGAGTGACGTCATAAGGTAGGATTGTTGTTTCAGATTGTTGAATGACGTCATAAGGTGGGATTGATGTTTCAGAATGTTGAATGACGTCATAATGTGGGATTGATGTTTCAGATTGTTGAATGACGTCATAAGGTGGGATTGATGTTTCAGATTGTTGAATGACGTCATAAGGTGGGATTGATGTTTCAGATTGTTGAATGACGTCATAAGGTGGGATTGTCGTTTCAGATTGTTGTATGACGTCATAAGGTGGGATTGTTGTTTCAGATGGTTGAATGGCGTCATAAGGTGAGATTGCTGTTTCAGATTGTTGAGTGACGTCATAAGGTAGGATTGTTGTTTCAGATTGTTGAATGACGTCATAAGGTGGGATTGATGTTTCAGAATGTTGAATGACATCATAATGTGGGATTGATGTTTCAGATTGTTGAATGACGTCATAAGGTGGGATTGATGTTTCAGATTGTTGAATGACGTCATAAGGTGGGATTGATGTTTCAGATTGTTGAATGACGTCATAAGGTGGGATTGTCGTTTCAGATTGTTGTATGACGTCATAAGGTGGGATTGTTGTTTCAGATGGTTGAATGGCGTCATAAGGTGAGATTGCTGTTTCAGGTGGTTGAATGACGTCATACGGTGAGATTGATGTTTCAGATGGCTGAATGACGTCATAAGGTGGGATTGTTGTTTCAGATTGTTGAATGACGTCATACGGTGAGATTGTCGTTTCAGATTGTTGTATGACGTCATAAGGTGGGATTGTTGTTTCAGATGGTTGAATGACGTCATAAGGTGAGATTGTTGTTTCAGATTGTTGAATGACGTCATAAGGTGGGATTGTTGTTTCAGTTTGTTGAATGACGTCATACGGTGAGATTGATGTTTCAGATGGTTGAATGACGTCATAAGGTGAGATTGATGTTTCAGATTGTTGAATGACGTCATAAGGTGGGATTGTTGTTTCAGATTGTTGAATGACGTCATACGGTGAGATTGATGTTTCAGATGGTTGAATGACGTCATAAGGTGAGATTGATGTTTCAGATTGTTGAATGACGTCATAAGGTGGGATTGTTGTTTCAGATTGTTGAATGACGTCATACGGTGAGATTGATGTTTCAGATGGTTGAATGAAGTCATAAGGTGATAAAATAGTTTCAGATTGCTGAATGACGTCATAAGGTTGTGTTTTAGGTATTGTTGACTGTAATACTTCGTGTGGTATAATTGTGGTTTCAGATTGTGTTATGTCTTCGTATGGTATGGTTGTAGTTTCAATTGATCCTGGGACATATGTTGACACACCGTGTGACGTCACCGTGTGATCTGGCGAGTGGACATAGTCCGAATCTCGCGAGAAGTCACGTGAGGTCACGAGAATAGTTTTGATTGGCTGCTCGGTGAAGCTGAGGCTCATGACGTCAGTCACGCGCCACAGGTCAGATGACGCAGGACCTGTGGCTCCTGTGGCTCCTGCCGTGTTGAGGAACTGGCTCAGGGGCTCAACCGACAGAGCCGTGGTCTCGAGACTGTCACGTGATAAGGTGAAGGTCGAGATGAGGTAGCTGGGCGACGTTGGCTGGATGTCTGTCGGTGGTGGGATTGTGTGGGTGGACCGGGTTGTGTGGGGGATGTCTGGGGTTGTGTGGGGGACGACTGATGGTGGCTGGTCTAGAGTCGTGGTTGGCAGGTCTAAACGGGACGTTGGTTGGTCTATAAATGTTGCCAGGTCTTCGACCGATTGACTGCTCTGCTCTACTTCCACTGCTGTTTGGTCTAAACTAAAACTGCTTTCGTGAAGTGACGTCATCGTGTGGTCGAGATTCTGCTGGTCCACGCTTGATGACGCAACAATGACGTCAACAACTGAGCTAAATGACGTGTCGAGTGGTGTCAAGGTGAACACAGTGACACCCGTGTGTGCAAGAGGTGTACTCACCACTGAGGGTGGCGTGGTGGAAACCAAGTCATGTATGGATGGTTCAGGTTCTGATGTTTCAAGGTTTGATGTTTTAAGAATTGATGTTTCAAGTTTTGATGTTTCAAGAACTGATATTTCTAGGTTTGATGTTTCAAGTTTTGATGTTTCAAGGTTTGATGTTTCTAGGTTTGATGTTTCTAGGTTTGATGTTTCAAGGTTTGATGTTTTAAGAATTGATGTTTCAAGAATTGATGTTTCAAGAATTGATGTTTCAAAAATTGATGTTTCAGATGTTGCTGATGAGTCCAGTGTAGGTGTTGATGATTCAAGGGATGTGTACATCATGCCTGATGTTGATGCTGCACTTGATGTTGCCACATCATGGAATGATGTCTGAATGGTGTGTGATGTTAGGGATAATCCGGTAATTGATGTCACCGAAACAGATGTTTTGACATCATATGATGATACAGTGTTACTGTGAGGCCTTGTATTTAGTGTTGATGATGTTGTTTTTGTTACTAAAGAAACATCAGTACTCGGCAATGTAGGTGTCGCAAGTAATGTTGAGACGTGTGATGACGTCACACCAGGTGTTGAGACATGTGATGACGTCACACCGACTGTTGTGACATGTGACGATGTCAAACCTAATGTTGAAATTAAATGCGATGACGTCACATCGATTGTTGAAAGATGCGATGACGTCACACTGACAGTTGAAACATGCGACGGTGATGATGTTGTACTTGAAGCTGTTGTCAAGCCCGACAATGACGTAGCTCTACTGGGAGTCTCCGTGGATGACGTGTAAGGCTGCGCTGACGTACACAGGAGGTTTGATCTGACGTCATTGGGTATGACGCAAAAATAACGCTTATCTACCGGAATGTCACCAAGTTTCCCATTGGTCATTGCAGTCACCAACAGACCAATCGCCTCGTCCCTTACATTCGGTCTAGCCGGAAATCTCCGGGGCGAGAAAAGAAGTTGAAATGTGGCTATGACGCTTCCTTTCCTGGCAGAGAGAAATTAATTAGAAGTAGAAAAACTGGTTGCCAAAATATTATATATATTTCTGTATTTGAATACAATGTATACACATTAAAATAATTTGTGTTTGATTTAGTTAGTATGTTGCCCTTATGTATTGGCAATGTTTATCACTACCAAAACTTAACCCTAACCATAAGCTTCTGCCAGTGGGTAAAAAAAAAACTCACACAAAGCGAAGGACTAAACAATTTCGGTCCTCTAGAAATGTTAAAAAAAAACTCACATAAAGCGAAGGACTAAACAATTTCGGTCCTCTAGAAATGTTAAAAAAAACTCACACAAAGCGAAGGACTAAACAATTTTGGTCCGCCAGAGATGTTAAAAAAAACTCACACAAAGCGAAGGACTAAACAATTTTGGTCCGCCAGAGATGTTAAAAAAAAACTCACACAAAGCGAAGGACTAAACAATTTTGGTCCGCTAGAGAGATGTTTAAAAAAAAAACTCACACAAAGCGAAGGACTAAACAATTTTGGTCCGCTAGAGAGATGTTAAAAAAAAAACTCACACAAAGTGAAGGACTAAACAATTTTGGTCTGGTAGAGATGTTAAAAAAAAAACTCACACAAAGCGAAGGACTAAACAATTTTGGTCCTCTAGAAATGTTAAAAAAAACTCACACAAAGCGAAGGACTAAACAATTTTGGTCCGCCAGAGATGTTAAAAAAAAACTCACACAAAGCGAAGGACTAAACAATTTTGGTCCTCTAGAAATGTTAAAAAAAAACTCACACAAAGCGAAGGACTAAACAATTTTGGTCTGTTAGAGAGATGTTAAAAAAAAACTCACACAAAGCGAAGGACTAAACAATTTTGGTCTGTTAGAGAGATGTTAAAAAAAAAACTCACACAAAGCGAAGGACTAAACAATTTTGGTCCGATAGAGAGATGTTTAAAAAAAAACTCACACAAAGCGAAGGACTAAACAATTTTGGTCTGCTAGAGATGTTAAAAAAAAACTCACACAAAGCGAAGGACTAAACAATTTTGGTCCGCTAGAGATGTTAAAAAAAACTCACACAAAGCGAAGGACTAAACAATTTTGGTCCGCTAGAGATGTTAAAAAAAACTCACACAAAGCGAAGGACTAAACAATTTTGGTCTGCTAGAGAGATGTTAAAAAAAAAACTCACACAAAGCGAAGGACTAAACAATTTTGGTCCGATAGAGAGATGTTTAAAAAAAACTCACACAAAGCGAAGGACTAAACAATTTTGGTCTGTTAGAGAGATGTTAAAAAAAAAACACACAAAGCGAAGGACTAAACAATTTTGGTCTGTTAGAGAGATGTTAAAAAAAACCTCACACAAAGCGAAGGACTAAACAATTTTGGTCCGCTAGAGATGTTTAAAAAAAAACTCACACGAAGCGAAGGACTAAACAATTTTGGTCTGCTAGAGATGTTAAAAAAAACTCACTCAAAGCGAAGGACTAAACAATTTTGGTCTGCTAGAGAGATGTTAAAAAAAACTCACACAAAGCGAAGGACTAAACAATTTTGGTCTGCTAGAGAGATGTTAAAAAAAAACTCACACAAAGCGAAGGACTAAACAATTTTGGTCCGCTAGAGATGTTAAAAAAAAAACTCACACAAAGCGAAGGACTAAACAATTTTGGTCCGCTAGAGATGTTAAAAAAAAAACTCACACAAAGCGAAGGACTAAACAATTTTGGTCTGCTAGAGATGTTAAAAAAAACTCACACAAAGCGAAGGACTAAACAATTTTGGTCTGCTAGAGAGATGTTAAAAAAAACTCACACAAAGTGAAGGACTAAACAATTTTGGTCTGCTAGAGAGATGTTAAAAAAAACTCACACAAAGCGAAGGACTAAACAATTTTGGTCTGCTAGAGAGATGTTAAAAAAAACTCACACAAAGCGAAGGACTAAACAATTTTGGTCTGTTAGAGAGATGTTAAAAAAAAACTCACACAAAGCGAAGGACTAAACAATTTTGGTCTGTTAGAGAGATGTTAAAAAAAACCTCACACAAAGCGAAGGACTAAACAATTTTGGTCCGCTAGAGATGTTAAAAAAAAACTCACACAAAGCGAAGGACTAAACAATTTTGGTCTGCTAGAGATGTTAAAAAAAACTCACACAAAGCGAAGGACTAAACAATTTTGGTCTGCTAGAGAGATGTTAAAAAAAAACTCACACAAAGCGAAGGACTAAACAATTTTGGTCCACTAGAGATGTTAAAAAAAACTCACACAAAGCGAAGGACTAAACAATTTTGGTCCGCTAGAGATGTTTATAAAAACTCACACAAAGCGAAGGACTAAACAATTTTGGTCTGCTAGAGAGATGTTAAAAAAAAACTCACACAAAGCGAAGGACTAAACAATTTTGGTCTGTTAGAGAGATGTTAAAAAAAAACTCACACAAAGCGAAGGACTAAACAATTTTGGTCCGCTAGAGATGTTAAAAAAAACTCACACAAAGCGAAGGACTAAACAATTTTGGTCCGCTAGAGATGTTAAAAAAAACTCACACAAAGCGAAGGACTAAACAATTTTGGTCTGTTAGAGAGATGTTAAAAAAAAACTCACACAAAGCGAAGGACTAAGTAATTTTGGTCTGCTAGAGAGATGTTAAAAAAAAACTCACACAAAGCGAAGGACTAAACAATTTTGGTCTGTTAGAGAGATGTTAAAAAAAAACTCACACAAAGCGAAGGACTAAACAATTTTGGTCCGCTAGAGATGTTAAAAAAAACTCACACAAAGCGAAGGACTAAACAATTTTGGTCTGCTAGAGAGATGTTAAAAAAAACTCACACAAAGCGAAGGACTAAACAATTTTGGTCTGCTAGAGAGATGTTAAAAAAAAACTCACACAAAGCGAAGGACTAAACAATTTTGGTCCACTAGAGATGTTAAAAAAAACTCACACAAAGCGAAGGACTAAACAATTTTGGTCCGCTAGAGATGTTTATAAAAACTCACACAAAGCGAAGGACTAAACAATTTTGGTCTGCTAGAGAGATGTTAAAAAAAAACTCACACAAAGCGAAGGGCTAAACAATTTTGGTCTGTTAGAGAGATGTTAAAAAAAAACTCACACAAAGCGAAGGACTAAACAATTTTGGTCCGCTAGAGATGTTAAAAAAAACTCACACAAAGCGAAGGACTAAACAATTTTGGTCCGCTAGAGATGTTAAAAAAAACTCACACAAAGCGAAGGACTAAACAATTTTGGTCTGCTAGAGAGATGTTAAAAAAAAACTCACACAAAGCGAAGGACTAAACAATTTTGGTCTGTTAGAGAGATGTTAAAAAAAAACTCACACAAAGCGAAGGACTAAACAATTTTGGTCCGCTAGAGATGTTAAAAAAAACTCACACAAAGCGAAGGACTAAACAATTTTGGTCCGCTAGAGATGTTAAAAAAAACTCACACAAAGCGAAGGACTAAACAATTTTGGTCTGTTAGAGAGATGTTAAAAAAAAACTCACACAAAGCGAAGGACTAAGTAATTTTGGTCTGCTAGAGAGATGTTAAAAAAAAACTCACACAAAGCGAAGGACTAAACAATTTTGGTCTGTTAGAGAGATGTTAAAAAAAAACTCACACAAAGCGAAGGACTAAACAATTTTGGTCCGCTAGAGATGTTAAAAAAAACTCACACAAAGCGAAGGACTAAACAATTTTGGTCTGCTAGAGAGATGTTAAAAAAAACTCACACAAAGCGAAGGACTAAACAATTTTGGTCTGCTAGAGAGATGTTAAAAAAAAACTCACACAAAGCGAAGGACTAAACAATTTTGGTCTGCTAGAGAGATGTTAAAAAAAAACTCACACAAAGCGAAGGACTAAACAATTTTGGTCTGCTAGAGAGATGTTAAAAAAAAACTCACACAAAGTGAAGGACTAAACAATTTTGGTACGCTAGAGAGATGTTAAAAAAAACTCACACAAAGTGAAGGACTAAACAATTTTGGTCCGCTAGAGAGATGTTAAAAACAAAACTCACACAAAGCGAAGGACTAAACAATTTTGGTCTGCTAGAGAGATGTTAAAAAAAAACTCACACAAAGTGAAGGACTAAACAATTTTGGTCTGCTAGAGAGATGTTAAAAAAAAAACTCACACAAAGCGAAGGACTAAACAATTTTGGTCTGTTAGAGAGATGTTAAAAAAAAACTCACACAAAGTGAAGGACTAAACAATTTTGGTCCGCTAGAGAGATGTTAAAAAAAAACTCACACAAAGCGAAGGACTAAACAATTTTGGTCTGCTAGAGAGATGTTAAAAAAAAACTCACACAAAGCGAAGGACTAAACAATTTTGGTCTGTTAGAGAGATGTTAAAAAAAAACTCACACAAAGTGAAGGACTAAACAATTTTGGTCCGCTAGAGAGATGTTAAAAAAAACTCACACAAAGCGAAGGACTAAACAATTTTGGTCTGTTAGAGAGATGTTAAAAAAAAAACTCACACAAAGTGAAGGACTAAACAATTTTGGTCCGCTAGAGAGATGTTAAAAAAAACTCACACAAAGCGAAGGACTAAACAATTTTGGTCTGCTAGAGAGATGTTAAAAAAAAACTCACACAAAGCGAAGGACTAAACAATTTTGGTCTGCTAGAGAGATGTTAAAAAAAAAAACTCACACAAAGTGAAGGACTAAACAATTTTGGTCCGCTAGAGAGATGTTAAAAAAAAACTCACACAAAGTGAAGGACTAAACAATTTTGGTCCGCTAGAGAGATGTTAAAAAAAACTCACACAAAGCGAAGGACTAAACAATTTTGGTCTGCTAGAGAGATGTTAAAAAAAACTCACACAAAGTGAAGGACTAAACAATTTTGGTCTGATAGAGAGATGTTAAAAAAAAAAAACTCACACAAAGTGAAGGACTAAACAATTTTGGTCCGCTAGAGAGATGTTAAAAAAAACTCACACAAAGTGAAGGACTAAACAATTTTGGTCCGCTAGAGAGATGTTAAAAAAAAAACTCACACAAAGCGAAGGACTAAACAATTTTGGTCTGCTAGAGAGATGTTAAAAAAAAACTCACACAAAGTGAAGGACTAAACAATTTTGGTCTGTTAGAGAGATGTTAAAAAAAAACTCACACAAAGTGAAGGACTAAACAATTTTGGTCCGCTAGAGAGATGTTAAAAAAAAACTCACACAAAGTGAAGGAATAAACAATGTTGGTCCGCTAGAGAGATGTTAAAAAAAACAAAGCGAAGGACTAAACAATTTGGGTCCGCTAGAGAGATGTTAAAAAAAAACTCACACAAAGCGAAGGACTAAACAATTTTGGTCTGCTAGAGAGATGTTAAAAAAAAAACTCACACAAAGCGAAGGACTATACAATTTTGGTCTGTTAGAGAGATGTTAAAAAAAAACTCACACAAAGTGAAGGACTAAACAATTTTGGTCTGCTAGAGAGATGTTAAAAAAAAACTCACACAAAGCGAAGGACTAAACAATTTTGGTCTGCTAGAGAGATGTTGCCTTCTTGTAGAGTTTGTAGGGCCTGGGGATCGAAACAATTCCGTTAGAGGGTGACAGGTACAGTGTGGCTAGATCAGTCAACGGTTGGTTATTACTTTCACTAAATGGGGGGCGGGTGGGGGGATGGGGGAGGGGGTCAAAGGGGGGGGGGGGTAGGTGTGGGATGGGTATGCAGTTGTGGCGTGGGTAGGTGTGTGGGGTGTAGGTGTGGGGTGGGGTGCAGTTGTGGGGTGGGTAGGTGTGGGGGTGCAGGTGTGAGTAGGAGGGACGATAGTGGGGGTGCAGGTGTGTGGCCGTGGCTAGACCTCACCTGCTGGCAAACCTCCCTCTGAAGTCTGACAAACTCAGGACTGGAGTTCCGGTGCAAGGCGTCGGTGAAATCTTCGTGTGGCAGACGGACAGTCAGGACCGCTCTCTCTAGAACCGGAAGTGGGAGAATCGTCAGGATATTGTAACAAAACAGCCACCTCAAAATGTCAGGATATTGTATAAAAACAGTCACCTCAAAATGTCATATCAAGAAATAGTCTGAAAGTATCAGTAATCGTGCAACGAATCACGTTTTGCTATGTACGTTATGATTTGATTACTCTGTCATGAGTAAATGTAAAAACCAATCGATTACTTACCGAGTTCTATACCATCTGTTTTTTCTTTGGTCACTAAATTTTGAAGAAAATAAATGTTTTTGTTCTATTGGAGCAATCAAGTCATTACATTTGATAAAAATCTTAAGAATTCGCCTATCCCCCCCCCCTTTGTATCAGTGAGTGTACATGATGTTTCTATCATAAACTTTAAGGTCAAGATTTTGGTTTGGGGAGGAGGTGGGCAGGCAAAAACTGAACAATTTCATCCTTCCACTAGCCCACATAATCCACCAACAATTTCATCCATCCCCACCACAAAGAACCCGCTCACAATACAATCCCCACTATATAATCCTTTCACAATCCCCCCACCACACAACCCCCACCGCTCCCACACATGTAAACCTAGCGTGTACTCACACACACTCCCCCCCCACACACACACTCCCCTACACACATGTGTACACCTAGCGAGTACTCACACAATCTACCCGCACACACAACAGTCCCCCCCACACACACAGCCCCCCACACACAGCCCCCCCAACACACAGCACGTGTAGACCTAGCGAATACTCACACCCCCCCCCCCCCCCCCACACACACACAGCCCCCCCCCCCCCCCCCCACACACGTGTAGACCTAGCCAGTACTCACACAGCACGGCTAAGATAACGGCGGCGATGACGACACAGATGAGGAGGAAGACGAGGAAAACAAAGAGGTAAACTCTCCAGTAACCACGTGACCTCAGGCTAGAACTTGTCAGCTCGTCACTGAAAGACTTGACAAAAAGGGAAAAGTGTTTAAATAGACTTAACAAGACTTGACAAAATGAGAAAATTGTGTTTAGATAGACTTAACAAGACTTGACAAAAAGGGAAAATTGTGTTTAAATAGACTAAATCAACAAGACTTGACAAAAGGGAAAAGTGTGTTTAAATGACTTAACAAGACTAGACAAAAAGAGAAAATTGTGTTTAAATGACTTAACAAGACTAGACAAAAAGAGAAAATTGTGTTTAAATGACTTAACAAGACTTGACAAAAAGGGAAAATTGTGTTTAAATATACTTAACAAGACTTGACAAAAAAGGGAAAATCGTGTTTAAATAGACTTAAATCAACAAGACTTGTCAAAAAGAAAAAAAATTGTTTAAATAGATTTTTTTTTTTACTTCAACGCAAATTATAGTTGTGTCCAACTAAATATCCCATAATTTCAAGCTTTCAATAAAACATAATCTATTCGATGTTGAAAGTTTTTAAAATTATTGCCAAGTTCGGTATCCGGGAGATTGGTATGGTGACGTAATTATTGTTTGTTGTTTCAATACTTTGATGTTGTAACTCACGTGTGTGGTGATGTGATGTAAGATAACATGAGTGATGATGTAATGTAAGATAGACATGAGTGATGATGTAATGTAAGATAGACGTGAGTGATGATGTAATGTAAGATAACGTGTGATGATGTAATGTAAGATAGACGTGAGTGATGATGTGATGTAAGATAACATGAGTGATGATGTAATGTAAGATAGACGTGAGTGATGATGTGATGTAAGATAACATGAGTGATGATGTAAGATGTTCATCACGTGTAACTCACCTCGGCATATTTGTACCTGCCCACGTGATCACGCATCTCAAACTGGGTCAAGGTCGGGTCAGCGACCTTCTCCGCCTCGCCGTACATGACGTTGGTGAACATCTTGGACAGCAGGGGCCACTACAAACATACGTGGACATTTTGGGCCACTACAAGTGGACATTTTGGGCCACTACAAAAACAAGTGGACATTTTGGGCCACTACAAGTGGACATTTTGGGCCACTACAAACACAAGTGGACATTTTGGGCCACTACAAACACAAGTGGACATTTTGGGCCACTACAATTGGACATTTTGGGCCACTACAAACACAAGTGGACATTTTGGGCCACTACAAACACAAGTGGACATTTTGGGCCACTACAAGTGGACATTTTGGGCCACTACAAGTGGACATTTTGGGCCACTACAAGTGGACATTTTGGGCCACTACAAACACAAGTGGACATTTTGGGCCACTACAATTGGACATTTTGGGCCACTACAAACACAAGTGGACATTTTGGGCCACTACAAACACAAGTGGACATTTTGGGCCACTACAAGTGGACATTTTGGGCCACTACAAGTGGACATTTTGGGCCACTACAAGTGGACATTTTGGGCCACTACAAACACAAGTGGACATTTTGGGCCACTAGAAACACAAGTGGACATTTTGGGCCACTACAAGTGGACATTTTGGGCCACTACAAACACAAGTGGACATTTTGGGCCACTACAAACACAAGTGGACATTTTGGGCCACTACAATTGGACATTTTGGGCCACTACAAACACAAGTGGACATTTTGGGCCACTACAAACACAAGTGGACATTTTGGGCCACTACAATTGGACATTTTGGGCCACTACAAAATGGACATTTTCGGCCACTACAAATACAAGGGGAGTGCTCACACAATTACAGGGTGAAGGTACTAAATCTCAGAGTCTTTTAGATGAAAAAAACAAACAGTAAAAATGTGTAACTAGACAAACATTACAAACTAAACAATTGAAAATGGCATGAAACTGATGACAAGCAACTTACCAACTTACCACCAAGCGATGACACCAACAGATCACAACATTCTACCATAAACCCCCCAGCCTCTGTGCAAGTGAACGGATTAGACTAAACGACCACCAGATTAACGAGATCCCCTCGAGTTAAGACCCTTAATCCCTTTGTTTTATGTGCCTTTATAATCAAGGAAACTTTCGCCTTTGAGGTAGTATAATTTAGGGCGTGTCTAGCACAACTAGCCCCTGGGGTAGGGAAGTCAACGGAGCGTGCCTCTCGCTAATTTCTTGCTATCTGTCTGATATGCATGAATGGACTGATTGGTCCTGTTGGACGGGGCCTCGGTCAGTGCCTAGCCTGCCCTTTAGTAGAGGCGGAGCCCCTTTTTTTTTTTTTTTTGACTCACTTATGAAACTGTTACAAATATGGAGTTATTTTAATTCTTGAGTTATTTATAGCTGTCCTAATTAAGGATCTAGTTTAACTAGCACTCGCTGTTTTCTGTGGGTCGTCAGGGTTCTAACCCCGGAAGTTGTTACAAGCTCGTGTTACTACCCACTTGACCAGCTAACTCCCGGCTAGATTTGCCAGTCATCCTTTATTCCCCACCCAAACTCACTCAGAATGTGCTCAAATCCAACTGAGCTTAGTCATAACATTGTTTGCTGGTAACCTTGATTGCATAACCCTAACCATACGGAAAACAGAAACCTTAACGTAATGGCTTACCTGTGAGTTTCGCGACCAAATTTAGTCAGGAATAAAAATCACATTTATTTAAACAGGATTCATAAGTCAACATATCGGCATATATGTTTTAAAAAACTGTAAATAAATTCCTGTTGGCACTCATGTCCAGAAAATATCCAGGAAAAAGAAAATGGTCACCGAATCCTGTTAGGTCTTGTGGGGTCAGCCAGACTCTGAGGGGTCCTTGTCTGTCCGTCCCAGCACAACTTTACCTGCCATCCACACCCAAAACACGTCTGGATTTCAAAGCTTGTCGGGCTGAGGTCGCCTCAGGTAGCCTGAGGTAGCCGTCAGATCCAGGTGAATCTTGTCACCTGGTGTAGGTATTATCCCCACCCACTGGTGACGCTGTCGTCTGATCCCTACCGTGACGGGGTGTCATACTTGTGTCATGCGCAGTCCCAGCGTGGGGCGTGGTTCCTGCCATTCGTTGTTTTGCTCGCGCCAAATTAATAATTAGCAATTACGTTTTTGTTTTTAAAAAGTTGCGACCAGAGTTTCTTCCAGGCATCTCTTCCGAAAATTTTTTACCGCCCCCCCCCCCCCCCCGAACGAAATGAAATTTATATAATTTATATAGAAAATATATACTTTTAACAGTGTCCGCCCCCCCCCCCCCCCCGAAGAAAGTTTACCGCCCCCCCGAAGATTTCAAGTGCCCCCCCGGAGAAAAAAGTCTGGAAGAAACACTGGTTGCGACATGGGTGGATTCTCAGTTTTAGCGTCCATTGGCTTAAGTTATACCTAGGCGAAGGGGGAGGGGGGTACTCTTAATTTTAACCTAGGGAAAGTTTTTATGAGAGGGTGGTCAAGTTTTTAATTCACTGACTCGATGAACGCTCTTGAGTCATCTCAGCTCTGATGAGTACCTGGCACTGGTTGGGGTAAGGTTGACTATGATCAGACTACCCAATACATTCATCTGCCGAGTTTACATATAAACTACACTCCGCCGTCAGTGCAATGGGTCACAGCCAACTTAAACTTTTAATCCAACTTTCAGAATTAATAGAATTCAACCATCTACTGACAACCCTATTATAAGCACGCCATAATCCTGATACCACCCCCACCCCCCAGCTACTGACAACCCTATTATACACACGCCATAATCTCCTAGATAAAATTAGACAGTAGTAGATCCACGGGGATAAAACTTGGGGTGGGGGTGGGGGGGGGGGGGGAGATAGGGACGATACATGTGAAATAAATGTATTGCGACCCAGCCTAGAATTAAAATATAATTATTGAGTCCTGACGTATCGTGGTGTTGTGGGTAATCACCACATGATTACAGGCGGGTTGTGGGATGGGGTTGTGGGTAATCACCACATGATTACAGGCGGGTTGTGGGAAGTTTGAACTCCTTGGGTCATAGACCGTCGTGAAACGTCTTAATCAACACGGGAACCGCAAGGAGCTTTTGGCGTGGGATATTAGAACGGCAGAATCGATACACTTATTTCTTTAACCTAGTATTATGTAGATTCGATACCGTAATTATTCACTCACCTTTCTGTAGAATCGATACCGCCAAGACATTTCCGATTCCACCAAGATTCTAAAGCTGGTAACTGCGCACAGCTCCCAGAGCTGGAGGCTACAGCTGGTGTCAGTAACTGTGTTACGGCTCCCAGAGCAGGTTACAGCTGGTGTCAGTAAATGTGTCACAGCTCCCAGAGCAGGAGGTTACAGCTCTGACAGCTGTTTGTCATTCTGGAGCTGGAGACCCTGACCCCTACTCGTGTCCCGCCCCCCACAACTCACGAACCGCACCGACCTAGGGGTCACAATGTCCCCCGCCTACAGAGGTCGTACAGCTAAAATAAAATGTACACCACAGCTTGGCTTGTGAGGAGCTGGTTGGTCCAGGAATTCTGCGGTTCCGGCAAGTCTTGGTCCTATCTCACGGATGTCTTTAGTGTCTAGAGAAGGTTTCCATTAGCTGATTCTTATTTCACATCGAGTCGTCTGATTGTTTTGTTGACCTACAGTAATATGTGTAGTGCTGTTTATATGGCAATGTCGCATATATGGTCTTCAATTAAAAAAAGGTCAAGGCAACATCACAACATATTATGACCCTACTCTTTAAATTGTATACCATAAATATATATAAATGTATATATATAGGCCTATATTATATATATATATATATATATATATATATATATATATATATATATATATATATATATATATATATATATATATATATATACATATATATATATACATATATATATATATATATATATATATATATATATATATATATATATATATATATATATATATATATATATATATATACACATACATACATATATATATATATATATATATATATATATATATATATATATATATATATATATATATATATATATATATATATATGTATGTATA